AGATCAAGTCTGTCTGCCAACAGAGCATGTAACCACAGTGGTTTACTTTGCTGCCAGCATCAGTGCTTGTAATCAAATTGTGTTCTTTTTCTCCCATCAGTGTTATAAAGATTACTAGCAGATCACAAAAGAGAGAACCATTACTAGTGATCAGGAGCCAATCCTTTGGGCAGAACAGCAGTACTTCATAGAGCTGCTCAGCCAGGTCTTCATTTTTTAAATGGTAAAGAAGAAAAAAGTCATGTGTTCTGTGGAAAACTGCAAGCACTTATCCAAGCTAAATCACTGAGATGGCATAGTGCTTTTCCGCCTCTGTAGTGAGTGTGAGTCAGAGTATTATACAAGTTCCTGTGCCAAAACCCGTGCCCAAAAGTAGCAGACTGTGGAGAGTAGCCCTTGTTTGTTACTCAGAGTGTTTTTAAAATCATACTGATAAAGCTGCATGTGGGGTTGTACGTCTTGTTCTTTAAACTTTCACCCTTGGGATGTCCCACCTGCATTGCAGCGCAAGATGAGTTAAAATGATAACTTTGTGGCTAGTTGTTTAGCTGACCTGTAACTTAGCACTGAACGCAGCCGTGGAATACATGAGTTATTTTGGTCTGCATGGTGTTTGTGTTCAGCAGATTCCTGTTTGGCACACTCCGTTAGGCAACTTATTGAAGAGTTAAGTTGTAAATTAAGGTCATGGCTGTGCTGTGAGTGCAGAATATGTATTGGGAGCCAGCTGAAAGCAGCCTGAGAACTGCGACCACTCTAGCTGTACCACTACACTGCCCACTTCCACCCGCAGTGCTTCAAAAGAGCAGCTAACATACTGAGCCCTGCAGACTGAAACTCACGTCTTACTTTCAATCTGCTTACATTATGATAGGTATTAAGAATGTCTAAGCAATAAATTCCTTTTTGCCCCTAGGTGGAGAAGTTACTGTAAATGCTTGTCTTAGCAAGGCCTGAATTGAGTGCAATATAATAATGAGACTACCTTCATTTTGTGAGTTTTCCTATCCCAGATGCCCTTGTTAACTTCTGTCTTGGCTTGCTAACCCCCAGGCACATTATGTTCCAGGCTTTAGATAATTATGTTTCTTCTAGGTTATTACATCTCCCTTTCTTCTTTTTAAGGCAGGCTATTGCATTAAAAGTAAGTTTACCAGGGTTGGCATTGGAAGGCTTCAAAGCAGAAAATTAGCTTTATTTACTCTGGAATCCTTTATTTCTGTTTCATATGTGCGTTGTGTTACATTAGCTGTCCTGGCACAGTACAGATAGGGCAAGCTGTGGTTTTAAATGACTAGCTCAGTGATCAGAACTGGTAGATGGAACAGCAGGCTTTCCAAAATTTGTACAAACAATAGGGCTCTAAGATCTTTGTATACACGACAGTAATATTCTTGCTAAGATGAATTTATCAGCCCTTTACAAAAAGATACAATTTGTCTTAAGTCTTGTGTGAGCTGCTTTCATCTGCTTGAGATGTACTTAATAAAAGGTATGCAGTTGGTACCACTGTGAGAATGTTAACACAACTTATTTTCCCTTCTGTTGCTGCTGCTGACCTATTGGTCTTTCCACTCTAGTTTTCCTTTCTGCCTCAGAAAGGTGGGAGGCACAGCTGAGCTGGGCAGCCACACAAGGAGACAAAATGCTGGGGATAAGCTTCCAGCTGTTAAGTCCAGGCATCGTGCAAAAGACTCCAATGCAGAGGTTTACATTTCTGCTCAAAACAGAAATGGAATTTATAACACAACATGCACTGAACTACAGCTAGCTCCATAAAACCACCGCAGATCCAGAATGCTGGTGGAGCATTCATGCTTTTCAAGATCATGAAATTATGTATCGCCTTCTTGAGTGACGGGTTGTTTTATCTGAGAAATCACTTTGTCCACTGTTGTCCTGGCCATGACTTAAAGGGCTGATCTTCAGGCACATAACTATAGTGCAGCAGCTTCTCTAAAAGCGTGAGATCATTTTTACAGTCATTGCCAGATGTGCAGTACTTATCAGACACAGCGAGCTGCTCTCTATCCAAGAGTGAGTTTTATATTTAGATGTCTTAAGAAGCCCAAACTTTGCAGATCACTGTTGCAATCCATGCAAAGAAAACTGAGGGAATATTCATCTACTACACAACGATGGCCTTAAGGCAATCTCTGAGCAGTTCAGCTTCACAAGTAGGAACACTTCAGTTAGCAAGTGCTTTCCCGAGGGAATGACAATTCTGGACGTTCCTGTGTTTAGATTTGTCAGTAATTTTATTTTCTTTAAAAAAAAAAAATCAGCATTTAAAAATAAGTGAAATTAGAGATTTTCCCTTGTGCACTACCGTACAATTTCAGCTCCCCATAACCTCTTAGAGAAGTCTCCTGCCTGATCTGAAGGGAGGGTTGTGCTATGTGTACTGATCCTGGCTCTACCAGCTGCTACACAGTAGCCACAGTCCTATGCTTGGTCTTTGCTGCTTCACTTCAAAGCAACAACTCCCACAGCCCAAATACACGTGATGTGCTGCGGAACCAACATACCTTATTCCCCCATAGAGTAAACCATTCTGAAATAGAGAGATACACCTGTTAGAGGCTGAAGTATTAGGAAGCTAGTGGGTAGGTTACAAAAGTCCTGAGCAGGCAGACGTGGAGATAGGCAGGGATTTTTTTTCTTTTAAACGTCAAGCAGTAAATACAGTTGTACTATCACTTTTCAAGAAGTATTACAAGAATGGGTGTTGGAGTGGAATAATAGAAAAAGGGAGGGGAGAAGAGGCAGAGACACTTTAAGAATTAAGCCACTATTAAACAAAAATGTGATTTTTTAAATGGAACACTGATATCAAAACTATAACGTCATCAGCTAAAGCTAGACATTAATCCCCCCTGACTTCACCATTACCCATTCCACACACACTCAAACTCCTAGGTGCTCAGACCAACAGTCTCTCTATAGCTTGCTGTACAGACTGGATCTGAGGCTTTAGCTGCGATCCCTCCTTGATAGTGATGGAGCAGGCGATGACAGGCCGGGAAACCCCACAGGCCCGGCCCAAGGCCTGCTTGGAGCGCACGAACACATAAGGAACGTTTTTGTCCTCGCAGAGAAGAGGGAGGTGCAGGATGATCTCCAAGGGTTCAGCATCGGCAGCCATCACAATGAACTCTGCTATTCCTCGGTTCAGTGTTTTGGTGGCTGTAAAAAGAAACTAAAACTAAGTCTAGGTTCCGTGAAGCACATCGCATGAACAACATTAAGAGATGCTGAAGTCAGCATGAGCAAGAAGGCGGGCCAAAGAAAACTGTTACCTACAGGGCCATGTAATAGCACAGCTCCGAGTCCAGAATGAACAATTTGCAGTCAGTAGCGCACCCATGAGAGGAAGAAGGCTGACCATTGAGTGCCAACAGCAGGTCCCAAGGAGGGACTATTCATAGGGTCACATCTAGGCTACTGCACCCAGCTCCACACCTTGAGAGATTCACAAAGGAGTGAGGCCAGCACAGGGCTAGCAGCTGGAGCACTCTGCAGATGAGACCAAGGGAGCTGGATCTGTGCAGACTGGAGAAAAACCAGCCAAGGTGGGTATGGAGGAGAATAACTGCTGCCTTGTGCCACACCAAGGAGACTGCAGAAAGGACGGAGCCAGGCTATCCCCATGAGCACACAGTATAAAGGACAAGTCGCAGACTGTGACTGTTGCCTTGAGGAAATTCTGGGGACATGAGGGGAAAAAAATTCTGGCACGAAAGCAGTTTAAGCCACAGGAGACACTGTGGAATTTCCACACTTAAGAATTTTTTTTTTTCCTCAAATAAAGCTTAACCAGATGAAGCCCTGAGTAGCCTTGACCCAGCTGTGAAAGGTGCCATTCTCTGACTGCGCTACAGAGCTCCCCTCAAACCCCAGTTATCTTATGATTTTAAGCTGGCAAGACACCTGGTCATCCCAGCGCCGCATCACAAATGATCACAGCACATGCACCAGGAACACACTCCAAGCAGCTAGGAGGAGGAAAGAGGGGGACACTCGTGACAGCCAGAGCTATGAAAAATAATATTCATGGCTCACAGCTGGAGAAAAAACTATCATCTCCAGCTACAGCTTCCCACAGCATTCCCAGCACGCCTTGCTTGTCCCACCTTCATTGGCTCCTTTGCGTAGCTGCTTGTAGTTGCAGGACTGTTGCACGAGGTCCAGCAGCGTCTTGGTGAGCTGCGCGTCAGCCAGTGGATAAGCTTTGGGGTTCACCTCTGCCTCACTCTAGAAACAGGAGAAAGGAAAAGATGGGAGAGCACTACATCAGGGGCAAAGCAGTTTGTTCCGAGGGACATTAGAGACGCAGCAAGTCCACCACGTGTAGTGCATCACATATGGTTGAAAAAGAGCTCCAGGATCACCCAGTCCAACCTTCAGCCCACCCCCATCATGCCCAATGACCACATCCCTCAGTGCCACATCCACACGGTTCTGGAACACCTCCCTGGTCGGTGACCCCACCACCTCTCTGGGCAGCCTGTGCCACTGCAGCACCGCTCCTTCTGAAAAATGCTTCCTGATACCCAACCCGAACGTCCCCTGGCGCAACTTGAGGCAATCACCTCTCATCCTACAGCTACTACCCAGAAGAGGAGGCTGCCCGCCCGTCGCCACAACCTCTTTCAGGCACCTACGCATACGTATACCACGTATATCAGCCCACAACCCGCCCCTGGATGCCCCTCGGCGCAGCCCCACGCAGCGCGGCCCCCACGTGCTCCCCGCCCGCCCGCCTCCTGCCTGGGCATGGAAGCGGACCCTTCCCCGGACATCTCGCATCTCCCCCGGCCGCGCTCACCATGGCGGCGGCGGCGGCGGCACGGTGCAGCTTTCAGCGCAGCGCAGCGCAGCGCAAGAACACTCGGGCCCAAGCCTCCAGCGCGCAGCGGGCCGCACGCCGCCGGAACTGAGGGCACGGCGGAGGGAAGAGGCGGGCCGGACTTCGCCGAGGGCCCTGCCCACCGCGCACCCTAGCGGCCGTGGGCCGATGTCGGCGGGCTGCGAGCGGCTGCGCGACCGGCACGGCGCGCGGTGGACCCTGCCGTTCCGGCCGCCGCTTTGCCTCGCGTGCGCCGTGGAGACCTTGGGCGATGGCGGAGCCTCGGTGGGGCTTCCCCTTCCGTCTAAGCCTCGGTACCCCCAGCAGCCCGCTCCCGCCTTGAGGCAGGGACTCGGAGCACGCGGGGTGACGCTTTTTCTGCCGCCATAAGCGTTGGGGCGGGCCTGGCGCTAACGATTGTCTTCCACCCGCAGCTGGTGCGGAAGAAGCACGCGCTGTCCCGTTTGCGCGATGCCCTGGCGTGGCAGGCGCTGCCGGTCGTCCAGCTGCTGGCTCCAGACGAGAGGGGCTGCCTCTGTCTGATAGGAACGCTCTTCGGTAAGAGCTCCTACGCGGCCTAACGCAGCACCAAGGAGTGCCCTTTGCATAGGCTTTGGTTGGAAGGGACCTCAAATACCAGCCCGGCTCAGACTGCCCGGGGCCCCATCCAACCTATCGTTGAATCTCCAGGGATGGGGCACCCACAGCTCTCTGGGCAGCTGTGCCAGCCCATCTCTGCCTTCTGAGTGACAATTTTACCTGACGTTTAGTCTAAATTTCTCCGCTTTTAATTGAAAACTGTTCCACCTTGTCTTATAGCTATCTACCCATGTGAAAAATCAGTGCCCCATCTGCTTGTAAGCTTCTTTGAAGTACTGGAAGGCCGCAATGAGGTCTCCCTGCAGCTTTCTCTTCTCCATACTGAACAAGCCCATCTCCCTCAGCCTGTCTTCATAGGAAAGGTGCTCCAGCCCTCTGTGCATCTTTATGACCTCCTCTGGCCCCACTCCAACAGCCCCACATCTTTCTTATGCTGAGGTGCCAGGTGTAGATGTGATACTCCAAGTGGGGCCTTGCAAAGGCAGAGCAGAGGGGGACAATCACCTCATTCATCCTGCTGGCCACCCTTCTTTTGGTGCAGCCCAGGATACTGCTGGCCTTAGGAGCACGCTGCTGGTTCATGTCCAGCTTTTCATCTATCAGGATTCCCAGGTCCTTCTCCGCAGAGCTGCTCTCAATGAGTTATTCTCCCAATCTGTAAACGTATCTGGGATTTCTCTGATGCAGGCTTCTCCACATTCAACTCCCCCCAAAAATGGCAGTAGACCACTGAAATACCCAATTCCATACTTCCGCCAATGTTCTCCTTTACGTGTTGCTATTCCCCATGGAAAAGGGTCTGTCATTGCAAATAGAATAGGGCAATTAATTTCCCTCTTCCCTGGGGAGCAGACCTGGCATGCTAATAAAGCTCCCACAGCTTTCCTAAGCATCTTGACAGATCTTTAAAGTCTTTACAGGGAACTGAGTGCTCTGGCTTATGACTCTTCCCAGAACACCCTCTGTTCTGGTCTCATGCCTCAGTGCTTTCTCATCTTGTGGCACTACATGAAGATCCACACAGAAATGGAAGCGTGAACTTAAAAAGAGTTACAGAAGTTAATATCAAATGGTAGAGTATTTCTTTCCCCCACTGTCTTTTTATATTTGTTGAAATCCCTCTAGCTGTAGGATTACAACACCTGTTTCTTCCTGGTGGGTCAGCCTCCCAGCAGAACACAGCGTTCAGAGAGATGCCAGAAAGTGGCTTCAGTCCCTTAGATCACGAACATCTCTCACTGTTTCTGTTTGCACAGCAGTGCTGTGGGCAAGGTCTTTGAAATATCTAAAATCCTGTCAGAGGAGAAATGATAGTGTAAATGAGGAAACGGTCAGACAGGAAGAGAAAGGTGGAGGGTATGAATGCAAATGCTTTCAAAGAGCAATTATACTGTGTTCCTTGAAGTCCACAGTCTCATTTGCACATCACAGATATGTGCTTTGTGCGAGGTGACTTACAAGCCCCTTCCCTTGCCACAACACTGAATAATTCAAGCTGCGTTTCCCAGCTGGTTTCCCAGCACAAACTGTGCTTTGCGCATTGGAAACAGCTTTATTAGAATGTTGTGCAGGTTTCATTCTCTCGGTCACACAAATTTTTATTGAGCACTGTCTGCACACAATCCTATACAGATGTGGAGGGAGTAGTGCTTACGTCCAGTTCACTCCTACGCTGTAGGATCCTAAACCAAATACCCCAGAAGACAGAGGTGTACTTGCATTTCAGTGCTCTGTTTTTAAATAATCAGTCTGTGTGCCTCTCTGGAAAGGTACACAGTTAAATTTTTAGGGGACAGCTTTGCTGTAATTGATTGGCATTTTCAGTACTGTAGAGGGAGAAAACTTGGTGAGTAAGAATAAGGGTAAAATAAGAAGGACATTTTATAGCTGGGCTTTGATTCCTGTCATTATGTAGTGTTGTAATTCAGATGTATGATGATGGACCAAATGCAATGGTGTTTGCAGTTTCATGTTTACCTACATAGGTGGAGCCACTGACTTCAACTACAAAGCACATAAAAAATTCTGAGAGAACAGTACACCTCGTGCCCCTTTTTCCTGGTTATGAGGGTGCCTTTTGCAGAATTCACCCTCTTCTGACAGTCAGATTGGCCTCTTGTGAAGCAGGGGGAAACTGGTCCTGAAATAATGTGCAGCTATTTTTACAAGAAGGCTTTACAGCACCAATGATCACAGGCAAAAATGAGTTCTGCAATTGATTGTGCTTTATCTTTCAGGGATGTGTCATGCAGTAGAAGACAGCGATGCGCAGGACCAGTTTGGAGAAGGTGAGGTGCAGGTGCTGTGTGCCAGTCAGTGGCAGTCTGTGAGAGGCATCCATCTTGTCTGATAGCTCAGCTTCAGCACAGCTTGAATTGAGGAGAGCTTCTATTTTCTATCAGTTGCAAAAGTGATAAGCAGACCATTCCAGTATTTAGTGGTGTGTCCATGTGAAGTATGTGTGCATTTAAACGTTAGCATTTCTCCCTCGGATTCTGTGTGTGCCATCAGAAGGGTAGCACTTGTGGGTAGCACAAAGCCCCATCTTTGAACCTGACCAAATGGAAATCTTCACATTGGCTTCACTGAGCTTTGGAACCTAGTGCTTTCTCCTCAGGACAAACAGTATTTGGGACGTAGCTGTACAGCTTCTAGATTCCTCTCTCTTAGCAGTCCTTCATTTGTAATCTGGAAACGCCTGCAGGGCTGAGAAGAGATGTCTGCAGTCCTATTAACCTTGGGCGTCTCTGCTGAGTCTTGTGATATTCACAGAGCAGCAATTTCCTCCTGTCCAGCCATGAGAGATGAAAGGAGATGTAACCAGCTCCTTTCAGGGAGGTATCAGTTTTCAGACACGTGCTTGAAAAGCATTGCAAAGGTGAGAGATCTTTCTGTCAGGATGTGGTTCTGCTGATAGATGGATGATTTCAAACAGAGGAATTTTAACTTGATGATACCTAATTATTGAATGTTCTTAGAAATAGAACAGTTCTTAGGAATTCTGAGAGTTCCAGGCAGGAAAGGGCCATTAAAGCACCTATGTATCATCTGCCTCAAGATACGCCTCTGCTCAGAAAGTTGGCCCTTCTTCTAAAGTAGGTCTCCTAGATAAACTCACAGTATTGCCCTGGATATACCAAGAAGTGGTACATCTAGAAGTCTCTGTGGTTTTTTTTGTTTGTTTGTTTGTTTTTGTTTTTTTTTAATGCTTTCTTAGAATAAGAGTAAAAAGAATGTATTAAAGTACCGTGTGCCCTGTTTGAAATGAGTCATGCCATGACAAGAAGATATAGCCAAACTAGCTTTATGAAATCGTATGGAGTGATATTCTGTACTGTGCCTCAGTTAAGAGTCACAAAGATAAGTAGGGCCTCAATTTATGGAAAGGTGTAGTGGATACCTACATGTGTATGTCTGGTAGACTGTAATGTTACCTTCTCTGCAAGGCTGTTTTTAAAGGCCAGTTTTCATACTTTAGGATGCCTGCTCTATTCAAGTATCAGATTTTTTCATGGTTTCAAACTTGGGCTTTGTTTCCTTCCTTCCTTATATTTACTTGATGTCCTGATAGACCCTTTATCATTTCTATGCATGGGTTGTGGTGCTGCTAGAACAGGATTGCTGCTGTAATGTTGCTGCAGAGAGCCTCAGCTGGGCTATCAGAACTAATAGCACTGGGGCTTTGCTGTTACCCTGCACTCTCAGCAGCCCCACGTTCATTTAATGGCTAAGCTCTTTGCTCACTGGCCTGCTAAAGCCCTGTGGAGGATGGATTGTGAGTGCTCTTCAATGTGAATTACTGATCCCATTTCTTCTGCCTAGTTCTTGTGCAGCTTATAGTGGAGCTGAAGTCAGAGCAGTACTTGCGCTGCATTCTGGACGAAAGCCAAAAAGAGGTCAGTGAAGATGAATTCTCTGCCCTTCCCTTCAGTTCTTTAGAAGTTGAAGAGATAAAAATGAGAGGCCCTGTGAGACTGCAGCTACTGCTTTGGGATGCAGCTTCTACCGTAGTGGGACGTCCTAATGCCAGTTCCCCTGCTGTGATTTTGGCATTGGTGTCTTCTCTGGAGTTTTCCTATTGCTCTCATGGCACGCTGTAGCTATATGGCTTCATAATGCTTTAAGGGAACCGTGTGCCTTCCTCAGATTCTTCTTTTCCTCCTTTCCTGCATCAGTGAAATGAGGAGCTTTCACAGCACTCTGCTGTCTTCATTCCTAAGTTTGTGGTGGTCCTGTGGGGTGCAAAAAATTGAGAAATAGCAAAAGCAGGGAGAAATTGAGCTGGTTCGTCTGCTCTTACAGGAGCTGGAGGGGAAAGGGGCAACAAGAAAGAGATTTCTTGGATAAATTAAAGAAACACTGTTGTATTTGGGGGATTTTAGGTAGGTTCAGAGTTTTCCTCTGATTTATCCTAAATGATGAAAAGAACCTGGTTTAGGTGAAGATCCTGTTTTGGAGACAGCATATTGGTTTTTGTGTCTTTCTAACTGTGTACTGTGTGAAACATTTCCTTCCTCTGTCTCCTCTACAGCTGTGCAAAGCAGCTACCAGGAGAGGCAGCCTGCCCACATTCACTCTCTTGGGCAAGCTAGCAGATGCTGTCCCAGGCTTTGCTGACATACTGGTGGTGGAGCACAGTGAGTAGCCTTCATGCTCCACTGAAGGGTTGTAGTCACAGCTCTAACACACATAAGCATGCAAGCACTGTCTTTCCCCTCCTGTGTGCATTTACAAAGGTTGCACAAGAATCTTGTCCCTGAAGATGAAGTGGCACGCAGACCTCCTGGGTTGCTGGTCAGTACCTCAGTAGTAGGCTTGGTGTTGTGCTCTTAGCCATCCTGACAAAAACAGCCTCTGAACTGTGTTTGTAGGCATGCCTTGTGAGCGATACATGTTTTGTTTTCCTCTCCTTGGTTCAGCTTCTGGGGTCTGGTGGTGGAAATGCAAATGGTGAACAGTTTCCTCCTTGGGCCATTTTTTACTGTACCTCTGCTCAGAGACTCTTAGAAGCATTCCCAATGTTCATGAATGTTTGACTGGATCAGAGGGAGAAACACTGGTGAGGTAGCACAACATCCATTGGTATTTGTTAATCTATGTACACCAGCCTGTGCAGTGGGCTTGTGCCAGTTGTACTGGTTTTGACTGAGAGACGAGATAGTGAGTGGCTGTGTGGTGCTTGGCTGCCTACTGGATTTAAATCACAGCACAGGTTTTTGAGGGAAATAGGCTGATGCTTTAAAAAAGTCAGCTTACAAGTCAGCTCATTGGTATGAATGTTTGCCATTTCTGTTCCTCACACTAGGTAATTTAGTGGATCATCTGCTGGTGGGCTTGATGTACCCAAATGAAGGTGTAAAGGCTGCTGTCTGTTACTTGTATGGCAAGCTGTACTCCTCTCCTGTTGGCACAGAAAAGCTCTCAGCACACTTTGAAGAAAGGCTGTGTGGCCTCTTCTTGAATACTTTTGGCCATGCGCAGACAAAGGAGCTGCAGGTTAATTGCTTGGGTAAGGCACTACTGAGAGAAACTGCAAAGTACAAGGGAAGGTTTAGAGCAAAGCAGAAATCCTTGGATGGTTTAAGATATCCTGATATAGGTTGGGCTTTAGAGGAGCTGTTTTTATGCTCAGTTGAACCAATTGATCCTTTCTGTTACTAGACAGCAGTGAAGTAACCCAGACCTGCTGTTTTGCTCCCCCAGCCTCTTTTGTCCCTAAAGCCTATGGTTGCCTAGCACTGATTAATCTTCAGAGTTTCCTCAGGGTTTTCCCTGTGATTTGACTTGCCTGAATATGATGCTATCAGACTCAAACTGCCTGAATGCAAGCACACTGCACAGACAGGTGGGTTTTGTATAGAACCAGAACAGAATAACATTTGGAAGGGTCAGTTTTGTGCATTTATTCTTCATATTGCACTTACCAGCTGTTGGTAGAGAGCACAATTTCAGCCTTCCTGGCACTGTTTGGTTGCAAACAATCCAAGGATTTCCTTTTCCTTGTAGGATGCAAGCAGGAATTGGCTTGCTCTTCAGATCTACTCAGCTGCTAGGAAAGGATGATGATTTCTTTGAAAATTGATCTCACGCCTTATCCCTTGTGAATTTGTGCCGATGTGTGCAGGTGATTTGCACCAGTATCTGTAGCAGTGCTCTATACTTTTATACTGAAGGGTTTTGTTTGTTTGTTTTTCTATGTGTGGATGTCCTTTAACGAAATGCAGCCATTTCAGCAAGAGCCTATGAAAGCAGGAAGGGAAGATAAATGCCACGGCTCTAGGAAGTATTCCAGGAAAAATATCTAGTTAACTGTTTGGTCCTTGGCTTTAGCATGGTGAAAAATGCAAATTAAGAGCTCTCTAAAGAAACAATTTAAGGGGAAAGTACTGGAGCGCAGAAGACAAGTAGAAGGCTCGAGGGGTCATTTACTACTGCACATACAGATCTCTGAGGAATGAGGAGCAATCAGACCTGGCAAAAAGAACCAGTGACAAGGGGTTGCCAGATGCATAGCTCATGGCACTTTCTGTTTATGTAAGTCAGAAGAAGCTTGCTCTACTTGAAGTTAGGGTCTTTGCTCAGAGGGCTGGAAAGAGAAGGAAACTGACAAGTCTTTGGCTGTAAGTACTTCTGAATTAATCCCATGTCCATTTTGTGATGCTCACTTTTGCTCCCCTTTTTGCAGGTTTGCTGAAGGAGCTGCTGAAATCTGACCGTTTTGTATCCATTCTTATGAATAATTCAAAACCAGAAGAATCTGAAAACCCTGATTTGTTAGAAGGGGAAAATCCACTTCCACTCATTCTCAAAAAGGTGATTGATGAAGTAGTCTTACAGCATGCAACCTATGACTTTTTAACACATTGTCCCTTGTTCTGAGGTGAGCTGTTAGTAGATGTAGGAGTTTGATAGCCTGTATTGAATTTTTATTTGAGGCATTTGGGTGCTGTCACCCCAACACTGACCAGCAATAGAGACTGCAGTGGAAAATCTGGGCATACCATAGGTCTCCTTATTGTTCATTCCTGTATCCTAGAGTTTTCCTTGTGGCCTCAGCTGGTTTTACTCACTGATGCTTAAGTTCTGATACAGCTCTGGCAGTGCTAACATGACTAAATATTGAGGTGGAGCTATTCCTATTCATAATACTATTTATTGTGGTTCTCACACTGTATTTTTGAGTGTGTTTAATCCAGTATTTTATCTTGCTTTGCCAAGTTTAACCAATGAAATGTGTGTTAAAAGAGAGACCTTCATTTATGTTTGAACTTTTTAAATTTAGAGGAAACTGTCACTCCTCATACCTGCACAGTTGACTTCCTCTCTCCTTTTTGCTTTTGTTTCACGACAGCTTTTGTTGACCAGAGATGAGATGTTACAGGCAGCAAGCTCTCACTGTATGGCTGCAGTGCTGGTTCACTCTCCCAGCAGATATGCTCCTGCCTTTATCCATGCTGATGTCCCAGGTGAAGAAGTGCAATAACATTGTATTGTCCATCTCCCTGGCTTTTTGTTCTAAGAATCAGTCTGGCTCCATGCAATCCCCGGATGACATAATCTATGCAATGACCTTTTAGTATCAGTAGAAATGTCTAATGTGATTTTAGAAACAGTAGTGAAAAATGAGTTTTCAATTGAAAGTATAAAAGTAGTTGTCAACTGGCAAAATGGGATTTCCTCAGCAAGAATTTGGTCGAGGAACCTCTTGAAGCATAGGTGCAAAGTCTAACCTGGCTGGGTTTCCATCTTATCTTACTAAATATTGTGAATTTTCATAGAATTTGATCTGGTAGATCTGGCTTCGGAATATAGCTTTAGGAGATGGTTTGTTGTTCACTCTATTCCCAGAAGACAGAAGTGCTTTGATTTTGCAAATTCTTTGTGAGATGTGAAAGTTCTTAGGAAAAAAAAGATCACCGCATCTGTGTTAAAGCTTGCTTTGTGACTTCATTTACGCCAGAGGCTAGAGCCACAATTCAGCTCCTGCCTGTTAAGTTTGTGCTGGGAAGAAGCCTGCCTGGGGGACTCTGCTCTCCAATCACCGTGGTTTGAAGGCTAGCATGCCTCTGAGTATTCACTCCATCCTCCATTCCTTCCATTTCATAATACATCCGTTCTCCCTCTGGCTGTCAGTATGATTCCTGCTTTCTTCCTCCTTCCTCTGCTCTGTTCTAGGAGCAGCTTTGCCACGCTGTGAGCCTCTTACCGGGGCGACCTTATTTGTATGTGTGTTTTCACAGAATTCCTTTTTGAGTGCCTCATGTGCAGCAGTGAAATTCTCATCTGGTCAGTGTATTGCTCGCTGCTTCTCCTCACCGAAGAGCGCCTTTTCTTCTCCAAGTGTCACACAGTGTATGGTGAGTCATCGGCCTTTCTGACAGTGACCGCCAGTAATATTGCTGGCATTTGTTGTGCCTCTAGCTGAATTTCAGTGCTTTACACACAATCACAGTGTCAAGTCAGGATGGATAAAGGACTGAAAATGAGTACCTATCGGATGCGTTTGTGATGTCTACCGCGGCTTGAGTTTACAGTGTCGCTGTCCTAATGAGTTTCTGATGAGCATGCATCCACTATAATAACCAGTGACTGTGACTATAACCTGACTGCTAGTAATAGCCAGTTATCAGGAGTTACTGCTAGGTACCTCTGTGGAGGTGTCAAAGGTGGTTTTAGGAAGAAAGGCCAAATTACTTCTGTTTTCTGGACTTCCTTTCAGCAGTGGGAGCTGATGCCCGTTATCAGGGAGCTGAGCGAAAATGATGGCTTGGGCAGTTGTTTCAGACAGTGGCTCAGAGGAATGATTGTTCAAATCTTCCTTCCTTTCAAATATTTGTTTTTCTCCCATCCTGGAATTTGGGAGGTTGAGGGGGGGGGGGGTTAAAATCCTCCTCTGTAAATTCTCTTGAATATTGCAGGCATAGAATCTCTGGTGAGAAGTCTCCAGGATGTCCTGCAGTTGAACAATATGGAGTTACACAAGCAAGGGCTCCTGCTCTTCACTGAAATAGTGAAACGGTAAGGGATTGCCCCTGTCAGACTCACAGATGCAGAATTTGATGCCTAAAAATGGAAACTGTTGGTTTTTGAGTTCTTTTTCCTAGGCCAAATATTTGCATTTCTTGAGCCCTTGTGTTTAGTCCTGTGAAGAAGGGCCTGATAGCTGTTTCCAAATCTCCCAGCTTGCCTTCTTTGTGCACATTTCCACCAATACATCTGCCTCTCCCTGCTTCCTTGGCAATCTGGGGAGTGAATTCTCCTTTCATCTGTAGGCATAAAAGGAGGCAAAGCCTAGGAAAGTCCAGGTATATGTGAGCCAGCTGGCTCCTGCTAAGTGACAAAACAGAGCATGTACATTCCATGGCTTCTAGTTCTCTGTCTTCATCTGAGCTAAATTCAAACAGCAAAAACAAATTCCAGGCCGAACTATTAATGCGTTCTGTCAGTTTCTCCCCTTGTTTTCTGCTAAGGAATAACATACTCTGGCTTGTTTTTCTTCTCTGCTTCCTGTTCCTGCCTGTATGATCTTGTTCATGTCGTGTTGTGCTAGTGACAGAATCTTGTTTTTGCCACTTAGGTCCCCCAAGAGAGCCCTAGAGCTGAATTTTGGAAATGTCAGTCAATTTTTGTAGCAAGTGCTAGGATAAAAAGGAGAAAGAACAGTGTGATGAGGCCAGTGTGGGATCTGTCAGAAAGAGAAACCAAAATGTGGGAAACACTAATTACAGCATTTACACTTGTAAAACAAAGAGAATGTTCTATGCAATTACTCTCATTTTCTAGCACACACGTCCTGTTTCTCAGAGGCTTACATTTAAAATGCCATTTTATTTTAAACTGTTTCATATGGAGAAAATGGTCTCATGCTGGAACATCTCTTGGTTTTCCTTGCAGCTGGGTTCTCTTACTCTGTAATTGACCCCCACGCTCTGATGTTATCCAGACAAGATGTACTGCCTCTGTTGGCACTGTCAAAAGTGTCAGGAATGGTGGGAAGCTCTCTGTGGAGTGCTTTTCTCTCCCAGCACAACCACAGTGGCGCACAGAGTTTGGGATCCAAGGACATGGGGCTGCAGGAAGGTGCAGGAGTTCTGTATTTAATGCATTTGTTTCCCTGGCCCTGCAGACATCACAGTACACCATATTGCAAGTGGGTTTGTGCCTCTTGGGTGAGTCAGCAGTACTCCTCCATCCCTTCTCCTCTGCATGAGTCAGTGAAGACTTTTTTTCCTGATGTGTTTTACTTCAAAGGGTCAGTGATTAAAGGAAGGAAATAGAAAGGATTAATAAAAATAGAATATAAGTAGAAACAACTTGAAGTTCAGCACATATGGCTTGGGCCAGAGGCTGGTCCTGGTGCCTGCGTTCCCTGGCCTTATCCCTGCCTTGCCCACCTCTCTGCCCTTTCTTGCAGCAGAATGTGAAGTGACTGCCAAGCTGGATTTGCTTCCACTGAGTGGCTGAAGAGTGGCTCTGCCTCTGTTCACTTTTTGCCTGCAGCTGAGCTACTAATTTAATTTCTACTGCAGTTGATTCTTCTCTCCCATTTGTGGAGCACGTGCTCCTGGCTTGCCTTAGTCTTGTCATGTCTATGAAAATGGAGTAACGGGGAATACTCTGGCTTCCAAGCCTGGCTGCTATCATGCTCTGCTTCTTTTCTTGCTTTGCTTTTGGAGATACTTTCTGGCAGACCATTAATGCCTCTTTTCCACATGTAGCTGCTTACCTTCTCCTCTCTTTCACGAGCGTACCTGACTTTCCAGGAGTCAGATGAGTCATTTGTACATCTCTGCCCAGTAATGGGATTAATGGCTTGTCATCCCTCCGTGCTCTCATGCTGAGTGCTCAAAGTCATTGGGTCACAAAGTGATCAGATGACCAAAATGGTCACTATCAAGAAAAAATGTCGAAACAATTGAATTATGGTTGTTTCTGTTTTTTCCTGTTTACTTCTCAAGTTCTTGAAAGTCCCTGTCCCAGCAGCATCCAGCAGTAGAATCACTGCAGGACTGTTAGAGAAACTATTCTCTTGGCATTGTCCTTCTTCTACTATGGTAGCGTTTGCTTGTTTACTCAGAAATACGAATTGTTAGATGAACCTACAAATGCCAGAGCAGATGGCCTCAGCATAAAGTCCTATACAGGGACTGTGTTTTGCAAAGCCTCTTTTTTCATGTGTTTTTCATGTCAGTATGTGCAGGCACAGTACAAAGTCATCCAGACTGTAGGTTCTTTTCATCATGGTAGGACTCCAGACCTGCTGAAGTTCACTCTTTGTAGCAAACCCTCCACCTACTCAAGTTTGAGACTGCATCCTTGTGAGCAGCTGGCTCTGAATACTAAAACTCATGGCTGGAGCCACATGGCTCTTCACTCCGTTTGGTCAAATAAGGAGAGGACAATACATTTACTTAACCTGACAATATTCTCCTTGCTTACTCTGTTTCCTCTTTGCAGGCAACCGGTGGAGATTAAATTATTCACGAACCGAGGTATATGTATAGATGCCATTGATGTTTTGATGAAGACAGTGGACTGCCCAGTGCTGGAGGTGGTAGTGGAGGCTGTGAAAGCTGTGGCAGCTTTTCTGAGGTAGGCAGGAAAGTATTTACAGGCTTTTCTTCAGATAGATCTGAAGAAATGTTGGTCTCTGCAGCTCCCCTGTGTCTGTGTGGGTGAGTGTGCTCTGCAGTGGGAATTCTGGCTGAGATAGGCATGGGTACAGCAGAGCTGGCTTCCCACCTACCTGCCAGGGCTGCCAGGGTGATGAAGCTGTGGTAGGCAGCAAGCTGCTGCAGCAAGGACCTAGCATCTCCATCAGGCTTGTTCTGCAGCTGCTGTGACTTTGGCACACTGTGCCCCTTCCAGACAGATAAGAGCAAGTATTAGACCGTGCACAGTTATACTGTGCTTGATTGTAGTGGGAATCTGTGATGCTGAATGCAGTGAGGGTGTGTTTGGGCTCGTGTCTGAGAAGGAACTATTCAGACCTCCTGACTTTTGTGTGCTGTACTGGAGAGAGATGGCAGTGGCATATTGCTTTCCAAAGAGGAGTTAATTCTGCTGGTGTTGTCTTCCCATGCAGAATGTCCCCAGCTGAGAACATGTTCATTGTCTTTCTTTCTGCTTGTTCAGGAAGGATCATCTGAGCTCCCCTCCAGTCCCATATGAAAATCTGCAGAAACTACTGGAGGCAGTGCTGAAGCGATGTGTCGACCTTTCCCCACCACACAGTAGCAACAAGCATGAAGTAAGTCAAGAGATACTGTGCACTTTGGTAGTACCAAGCAGGACAGGACGATCCTCCTAGCACAGCATGTGGAAGTTGCATGTTTTTTCCATCTCCTTACCTGTGACTGTTGTAGTCTCTGGTGTGTCTTTTGATCCTCATGGCTTGAGATGGTAACAATCTTTATCTATGAAAATGAGTGCTGGTGAGTGCTTTTTCTAAATCAGTGAAAACATGTGGGGCACCATTTTAGTATATTGCTCTCTTTATATGTTCAGTGCTGCAAGGTAATTTGAACCTCCCTTTCTTTAGGCCCCCGCCTTGTAGGCTGTGTTAGTCAATCTATTTTTTGGCAATGAACATCTCTTACTGTGCCTTCAGACCAAGACAGTCACGTTGTATGCACAGTGGTTCCTCAGCGAGGGAATTGGTAGCTGCTGCTTGAACTGCAAATTCTTTACTGTTCCTGGAATATGCAGTTAATGTGATGTGCTGCTGGGACCTGTGCATCTGTCAGGAGAGCTCTCATAACTGATGGCCAGTGACATGACAAGGGCTGAATCTTCTTGCTCTGTGCTTAGGGCCACTTAAGTTTAGATTGCATGTCTGAAGTGGCAAGAACATCTTGTGGGGGTACCAGAACTCCAAATGCTTGTTGAATTGTCCTTAGGTCCAAATTGTTTCTTATCTAATGCCTGTCTTCTCTGCCTGGAGAAAACAGGAGAGCTTTCTGCCCCATTGGTAGATGTTGGTCAGTCTATTTGTGCACACAGAGCTTTGTGTCCCTTTCAGGATAAAAAAGCTTTACAGAAAGAAAATTAGGCAAGGCAGTAGCGAAATCCAGTCTGTGTTTAGTGAGTGTAAAAGGGAAATGATTGTAGCTGTGATTAGGTGTTACAGTATCAAATGGGAACTATAAGGAGTTCTGAACTGTCAGGCTCCAATGCATTGCTGTGTTCTCCTCTGGCAGTATTTAGAGAAGACCACCACAGCTTGTTAAGGTTTAGAGGCAGATTTTGAGTTCCAAGTGGTTTGTTCACAGTTTGGGCAGATGACAAATTCTGACCTGGAACTTAGCTTCTGGCTGAACTCAGTAGGACACGCTGTGTTAGAACAAAGGCCAGTATGTGCATAATTTTTTACAAATCTGAGCCTAAGTAGTGATTTCTGAGCAGGGAGTGGAACTGTTCAGTGTTGTGTGAAGAGTAAATGGAAGGAACAAAATTAAAAAAAAGACAACACCCAAGTTTTCCCAGAAGGGTTTGAAGCTGAGTGGCTTAAAGCTCAGATTAGACCGAACCATGGCAATACAGGCTATACTGCCCAAGGGATAGAACTGGTGGATTTATAATTCTGTTTTCCATAGAAAGAGCTGTGTAAATCTTTTAACTCTGCCTTCCCTAGGGAGAGCGCAATAATAAAAAAACATCCATGCAAAAGGAGTGATTGAAGTATGTTGTTCCTCCTGCTGCTGGTATCAAAGAGGAAATCAGTTTTTCTTTTTTTCTGACAACAGTGAATACAACATTTTGAAGACTTCTGTCCTTTAGCAGGGTGATCTCCTGTTATCGATGTCCCAGAGCAGAGTTTCTTGGAAATATGGACTGCTATTATTCAACACTCTGGAAAGTTTCAGAAATGCTTGCAGGTGAGGACAAGGAAGGAATAAGGATGGGTATCATGTGCATGTCTATCCATCTATCCTTGTGACAGAGTTCCTTTGTCAAACCCCACCACTGAAATTCACAGGTGGGTTCAATGCATGGCACTTGTCAGTTAAACAATAAGAGAAATGTTTAGTGACAGTGAAAATTTTGTCACACCTGTTTGTGTCCCCTAAGAAATGTGATTCAGACCTATGAGGTTCTCTCATGTCTTCGGTCACTGAAGAACTCCTTGGAAATAAGACAAAACTGTTGGTGATGTATGAGTGTTTCTCTCTCCTCTGGCACCTGCTATGTGTTTGTAGGTTAGCAGTGGAATTACAGAGTGACCCCATGGCCCAGGAGAATGCTTTCACTGCTCCCTGCTCAGAGAGCAAGGAGACGCTGAACAACTTTTCTGAGTTCCTGTTGAGGATCTGTGACAGTCTCTGCATCCCCATGGTCATGGTAGAATTTCTTTTGGAATTGTTCTGTTCCTTGGGTACCTGGAAGGTGCCCTCAAGCACCAACAGTAGGTGGCATAGGTCTTTTTGGGAAGAGAGCTTGTAGAGTAAACCTAGAATAGCAGAGGCATTTGCCACCTCTCCAGAGCTGACTTTGGTATTTGTTATACAGTTCATGCAAATGGGAGTATATAGTCTCAGAGGGTGGAGAAATTCATAGTGCTGTTTCTTGCTCATTGAATTTGGGTAAAAATTAATGGACTGTGGTAAAATTGCTCAGTGACCTTCAGCAAAGGTGAGCTGAGTTGTTCTGCTCGGAACATTTTAGTGCTAGACTTAAATGCTTGTGTTTGCCACTGCCCAATAAAACTTCAAAGCACAGGTATTAAGCGCTACTGAAGTCAGCTGCATTTCAGTGTATTGTTGTGTTGCATGCTGTGCCAGAGTTAGCCCTCAGATCTGCAAGAGCAGTTATGGCCAGAGTTGTAGGGGCAGCAATGTTAGTTGCTGCCAGGCATTTTGGTGGAAGAATTGTTCCTCCATTTGTCTGGACTTACTAATCTTAACTTTCTGGGGGGGCAGGAGACAGGAGGCAAGCTGCAGCTTTCAGCGTGTATTGTGTATCGCTCATCTGTTCCTTTCTTCCTTCTGCAGAACTACCTGGAAACATCTGTCAGTTCCTCAGTGATGGAGGTTTTCATCTCAGCACTTAATACCCTCTTTGCAGTGGTGCCAAATATGAGAGATAAGTTCTCCAAAAAGCTGGGTATGGGGATGGAATCATGCTCTCTGTGCTGTTAACTGATGGAACTTCCTGCAGCAGCATGTTGCAGAGGCAGGGAGCTTAACCAGAGTGTTTGTGGAGGATTATGTGACATGATTGTATGAGTAAGAATGGAGTACACAGTCATGATCAGTAGGATGAGAGAGTTATTTGGTCTAGCAATAGTGATTGGATAGATTTTATTTTTGATAATTAAATTATATCAGCTTCATCTTTTCCCCTGGAACATTCAGAACTGGCTGTTCCTTTGGATAGAGATTATGCTGGAATTGTTGGTGGGCATTCATTGTGTGGAATTCTTATTCACTCTGTGTATTTCTTGCTGTTTGTGCATCAGAGAGATGATGCAGATTTCCTCTCTTCTGAACATATAGATCTTCCTTTCTCTTTCTGAGAAGACAAACAAAACTCAGAGTCCTTTCCAAACCAAACCTGAAATAGTTTACTGTGGGAGAGCCTATTGGGGAAGCCTAAAATGTATTCTTACTGAGATGGCCTGCTCTATTTGCTAGATTTGCGTGGAGATGATTAGGGGGCCAGTCTTCTGTTTTGCCTTATGGTACATATTCTGTGCTCCTTTGACGTTTGTGTCTTGCTTTCTCTATAGCATCCTCCTGCTTCATCCGACTGACACTGGAACTGAAAGCCAGATTTTGCTCTATACAAAGGTATCGTTGTATGTGTATTGTGAGCAAGTCAAAAAGACAGAAAAGCAGATCATGCCTTATTTAATGCACCTGAATTAAACAAGGGAGGCTGAAAGACTTGAGAGCAAAATATAAACACTTAACTGTCTGTGGAAAAGCTGGATGTGTGAGAAGGGAGAAGGAGTTAGGAAGGGCAAGAGTAAATTTTCACAGCTTTGTGAGAATCCTGAGTTCCACTGTAAGCTGTGCATACAGAGATAAAGCAGCCTGACTTTTAAATAGTGAAGTTGGTGGGTGTTTTGTAATGAAGTAACAGTAGTATGAGTTCCATCTGAACCCTGGCTTCCAATACATGTATTACCACTACTTTTGTTCCCTGTGCCATCATATTATGTAAGAAAGGGAAGGGAGGAGGAAGACTTCAGCAGGAGGCATTGCAAAGAATGTTCTGTAGCAGAGGTTGTGATTTCTAGGTTGAGGAGGACTGAGGGAAACTTCCTTTTGGTCTACAGAGATGTTTTACCTCCTCTTTCCTGTGACTGCATCTAAGTAAAAGAGTAAACAAAATACACAGCACCCTCATCCAGGTTACCAGTTTGAGGACACTTGTGCGTGTGTGGGGTGATCTAGGTTTCTAAATGCAATAATGTACAATACAAGGATGCTGTGCTACACTGCAAAGTTGTTTGATTACGTGCTGTTGGAATAACTGGACAAAAAGAAATACCTAGAAATAGAACTGTTCTCACCCCTTTAGTCTTGGTATTCTTCCTTGTTCATCCCTGTAAACACCATTGTGTCAAAAAGGTTTGCAGTGGTAAACTGGAATCAGTTATGTGGAGTGGAATCGATTATTAGGAGCCACCCTCATACAGCCTTCTTTGCACAGTTCAGGGCCCTGCACTTTCAAGACTTCCTGTGAATATAGGATTTGAGGTTTGTGAGAGTATCCCACTGTATTCATGTCATCCCAAGGCATCTAAAATTACTGTTGTCATCATTACTTGCACCTGCCATGTCTGAGAGCTGACTGTTCTCTGGGAACTCTTGATTTTCCTGGAAGCCTGGGTTGGCTTCTGGAGTCCAGTAGTGACAGAGCAGGTGCTTGAATATGATGAGTGAGTAAACCAAAGTCCTGGCAGACAGTTTGTGACACTGAAAGTGTAAAGAGGGTGTTTCTAGCCTTCTTACAGTATTTTCTGCTCTTCTTTACAGTAATCCTGCCTTGAATCAGGCCTGCTCCAGCTTCCTCTGCAACTTATGCCTGAGCCTTTACTCTGCCACAGGGAAGGAGAGAACTTCTTCTCAAGAAGGCAAGTTTGGGGTTTAGTGGCCAGCCTCTATTTAGGCAAATTTAAAAAAAGAAAAAAAGAGAAAGAAAAGATGAAGGAAGGGATGGGACACAGGAACATGTATCAGTTCTATTTAGAGATTTCTTTTGTTTTAAGAATGAATCAATTGAGATAAAAGCCAGAGAATGGTTTTAGAAGAGTTTGGCTTTACTTGAATAGATGTGTGCCTATGGTTTCGTTTACATGGTGACATTTATTAGCACAACTGTGCATGGATTAATTACAATAATATTAGTTGCCACAGAGTCACCCTTATCTGGGAATTCAAGTCCTTTTTTCCCTCTGACATACTCTATTTTTCCTGTCTATACTGCAGCTTTGCATTGTAGGTCAATCCCAGATAAGTGATGAAAGTTTTCATATCACGAAATCTACTTTTCTACTGGCAGTGGTTGGTCACTGTACTGTCAGCATCAGAAAGAGTTGAGAACCTCAAACAGAAGTTTCTTTTCATCCCTGAGGCTAGCTCTAATATATCAGATCTTATGCCTGTATTCACACCAAGTCATGGAGATACACTTGCTGTTTCATGTACTGTTTGCAGACTGTGAGGTACTAAGTTGGCTTTGGTATTTCTTATATCAGGAGCTTCACTAATTTAACATGCTTGAGTTATAGGCAGATAGGTGCTTCAGTCCCCCCTGTTTGTCTTCCCCTGTCTGCTCATGTTAGTTTTATTTCTAGAGCAAGAGATATCTGAGCTCCTGCAGAAGAGTCTGCCTCAATTAAACTACACAGTTGCAGAAAGCCTTCTCCTCCTGGCTGAAAACCCTGAACCTCTCTCCTTGGATCAGTCTCTTTGCAACCACCAACATTGCTTCATACTCCTCTTATACTTTGCCTACACCCTTGGAGACAGGTGAGCCAAGAGCATACAAGGTAAGTGATTATGTGGCCATCACACATATGTATCAGTGGCTAAGGCATGTCTGATTTGTTTCTGCTCCAATCTCCTTGAATGCAGGTTTGTCCCAGAAACTGAATTGTTTTTAGCCATAAGAAATTTTCTCCTGCTAGCACAGGACCACCGAGACTGGCCCCCTCCATACGTACTCAGAGCTGTGCTTTACCTTCTTGCTGTCTGTCAGGACAAAGGCAAAGCCCTGGACTCGGTAAAAGATTTCTTTCTGAACACTTGAACCCTTTTTGTTAAAGGTTTTCTCAGCTCTCGTCAACCCTCTTGTAGAAAGTAATTTGATGCAGTCAGTGATGAATGAGAGAGGAGTGTATGATGCATATACACTCTGGAAAGTTAGCTGTGAAAAGCCACTAGGGGATATAGATTTGATTGAATAAACTTGTGTCTGCGTGGGAAGCGTAAATGTGTTGGATAGGCTGTGAACTCACATACAGAATATTATGAATTTCATAGCTCCAGTCTCCTGAACACATCCACAGCCTCTGCAGCAGGCTTTCTAATGTTCCCATATGGACCTTTGCTGCTGCACAGCTTTGAGCACTGCATAAAGCCTACAAGTTTCTTAGCCTTTGTGATGCAAATGGGCTTCACAAAATGATGTTTAACTGATGTATTTGATTGTCTGGTTAAAAGGCAATGTGATTGTTTTTCACAGTAAAATCTCACTGCTTTGGCTTTTGGATATTCACTATTTGGCAGTTATTTTGTTGTCTCCCCACCTCCCCCTTTCTCTCCCACACATTTACCAGAGGTCACTGTGTACTGTAAAGAGGATCCTGGATAATCTCCCAGATCTGAGCTTGGTCTACATTCATTGTCCTCTGCTGCTGAAATTCTTCCTACATTACCCTGAACTTATGGGCAGATTTGGGCACCAGGTCCTGCAGCTCTGGTTTTCTTGGGAAGACTGCAATCATGTGGAGACTGAAGAAGATGCTTTTGGCACGTCTGATCAGCTGAACAATGCTAACCCTTTACTTCCCATTCTGAAGAGCAATTCCAGCATTTTATTTATTTTACTGGTATGTGACTCACAAGGACCGACTGTTATCCTGGCTGTAACTTAGGGGGATCAATTAGGGCTTTTTGGTTATTAGAGCACTTAATGCTGCTGTTCCGAGGCCAAAGATTCTGCTAGAAGGGCCCTTGAGTTTATACACAGGCTTCCACCTTGCATCAAGCCTGATAACAGCAAATGGGATTGTGAGAATGTGCTACCCCTTTCTCTGTCATCCATTCACTGTGATAGAAAGGGAATTTTGAGAATTGGCTAGGAAGGGATCTGAAAGGTGCTGCTGATGATTTCCATGCAAGGAAATCATGGGCTTTTCCTTTTCTCTGTCCAGAACACAGCTGGATAGTCTAGATTCTTTTGGGGCAGCCTTTTAAGAACTTGCTTTGCTAATTTAGAAGCAATGGTATTCTACTAATAGATGAGAGGGATATGAGGAACAAAGAATGTTCAAAAGCAGCAGATCTTGAGGGCTTGGATTTCTGTTTGCTCGGGTTTTTAACGGGAGAGCCTTGCCAGAGATTTTTGCACTGCTCGGAGTTTTCAAGACTGCAAGTAGCACACTGCATTGCTCTTAAAAGTTAAAATACAAAACTCAGAGGTCTTTGCTCACTTGCACCTCTCCCACCTGCCCTGTCACCCCTGCATTGGTGGCCACTTGTCCTATGACTGCCTACCCAGCTGCATAAGTAAATCCTTGTTACTTCCACACAAGAACACAAGATTTACATTTATGCCAAAAGCTAACAGCTGTGATGTTTCTTCTCCAGCCTGTTACAGTAGGAATTTTTTAGATTCTACATATGTTTGATGTATCATCGAGAATAGAAACCAATGTCAGCAAACAGGCGTTTGCTGACAATCCATGTTTGAAGCCAGGTTTGATTCTGAGTGGGCACCCTTGTGGTGTTACAAGCTGGCATGTGTTTGTTCTAACCTTAGATACTATAAAGTAAATTTTAATATCCAGATTATGGAAATGACTGACAGAAGGGCTTTTCCATCAGGCAGTTCTTTAACAGTTAGGGAGATATTACAGAGTAGATAACAGAATCCAAGCTTTTATAGTATTGCCAGAGCCATAGTAAAAGTGATCCATGAGTTGACAAATCAGTGCAAATTAACAAAAAGTGTCCCTAGAGACTTGTCTATCCCATTACCTTTGGCAGTAGCTCTGGAACCCATCACTCCACAAACTAAAAATATACATCGCAGGTCTATCACTACACAAAAGGGAAATGATGGCTCCTTCTCTGAATCATGCAGCATTCCTACTTTCCCCTTTCCTGTCCTGCCATGTACTTGTGCAGAAACACATTAATTTAACTCTGTCCCAGTCTTTAAAGTGAGTTGTAATAAATCACAGGCTTTGACAGTCTACCTCTAAGCTGGGGAAGAGCATAATCAATCTGAATTTAGATGGCCTAATAAAAGAGTGCAATGTCCTGAAATAAATATACTGTCAGAAATAAACAAAACTTATGAGGTGAATAACCTCAGCTTGAGAATCCACTAGTGAAATGGAAAGGCCTCTGCATGGTGGGGTGAAACAGAAAGGAATGCCCTTCCAAGGATGATTTATTTGCTTTCTGCTTTTATTAAAAGTCTGGATTATATAGAACAGATGGTTGTGGCTTCATCTGAGACCTTGAGATCCTGAGTTGGGAGGAAAATGTTAACACAGTGAAGCATTTACCAGTGCCAGGAAGGCTGTGGCCCTCGGTTAGCACTATTCTGTGCTGTGTGTGTTCACCTGGGGATGAATATGGTGTGATCACACACTGGCCCACTTGTCTTCTCCATGCTCCAGATCTGAGCTGACCTCTTGGAGAGTAGTTACAGAATACTGATATTAGATTCCATTCTTGAACGTTATATGGAGTAGGTATGTATATATGTAAGTGCAGCATGTTGTGCAGACGACTCTCAGGCCTTTATTCCTGAATGTCTCAGATGTGGGCAGGAATTAGGCTAACAAAAGGTTTTTTTTTCTGGCAGAAGCAGCCTGTTCTTACCTTAACTGCTTTTCTTGAGTACAGGTTCCCAAAGATAGCAGGAAAAGGCTTAGGGCAGGCTGTAGGGTTGGTAACATTGCTCAGACCAGTTTTTGTTCCTGCTTACCTCATTCTGCTGTACCATTTGCAATGCAGTAGCCAGGACTACTGGGAGAGGAATGGCAGTGCTGATGTAATTTATGTTGACTGTCTCATTATGTCAGCACTATGGGGCATTTTCTGCCTTGTCTTTATGGAACTGCATCTATACATGCTCTGCAGGTAAATTTAATATTAAACACCTTAGCAACAAACAAATGCCCAAATTAAGGCTACTGGCTGTGGGATTTAGCTCAGAGACTCCAGACAGCTCTTTATTCAGGAAGGCTTGTGGGCTGAATGCTGTATACATTACTCTTCCATTTTCAGTGACTGAGTGATTGCTTGTCTGGTTTATGTACATTTCATGCAGTTTAGCTGTTGTGTTGTTGTTGTAGATAGTAGGCTGCCAACCTCAGTCTTCTGAAAATGACTAATTACGAACTGACTCACAAGCTTGATTTTAGGCAAGCATCTTAATATGCGGCCTGATTTTTCAAAACAACAAGGAGAGCAGAAGTGCCAGAGGCTCTGTGTTCTTGGAAACAGGGTCTTGGCTTTGTGAAATCATTTTTCTAAAGCCTTGACCTTAAAAAATGTTTCCTCTATCCTTTTGTGCTGGACTGGGGCGTTCCATAGCCAAGTAGATTCTTTAAACAGGATATTAGTCAGTGCTGCCTATCAGAAGAGAGTCCTCCTATTTTATCCAGTACTCCATTTAATCAGGACATAGTCAATCTGAACAGTGCCTTATTAGAATGTTTCCCAAGACACCAGATTAGCATAATGGTATTAAATAGAGGTGATTTTTCCCTAATCAGGGCAGAAAGATAATGTGTGTGTTTCTTTCCTCCCAGGACCTGGTCTGCTCAAGTTCTGTGGAGGTGTCTCAGAAGGTGTTGATGGCTCTAAGGACCTTTCTGGAAAAAAATGAGGATGTATTTGTCTGTGACCTCCTCCGGAATCAGTTCCTACAGATTCTGCAGCAGCTACTTGTAGAGAGTAGCTCGGCCTCCTTACAAGGTGACTCCCCTCTTTGACTTGGGTCTTGTGTTGTCAACTAACCAGGGAGGTGGCTGGCATCATACAGTGTGGGATGAAGTGTTTTTGAGCTGCTGACGTAGCTTTGGTACTTATCTACATGAGGAAACATACAAACAGAACTTTACTTATTTAATTTTCTTATCCAGAGATTCTTGTTTTGAAGTGTCTTTTTCAGATTTAAGTTTGTTCTTTTATTGAGGTATGATTGTTAAACTGAGGCAAGTTTATGTTGCCCTAGGTATTCACGTGGAGAGCTGTGCTGGTAAGTTTTTCTGAAAGACAGAATCCTTTCTGCCTCCTTTGTGCAAGACAGCTGGGTGTGCCTGAATTCAGATGGTTTCCAAGGCACAGAGGCTGGGCACAGACATCATTTGAATCATTCATGATATTGATCCCCAAACAGGATCTGTGATATTATCAGACTTTACAATTCTGTTAATTCTTTCAAACATTTAGCAGGGTTATGATTGGAGGAAGTCTCTGTTTTCCTTACCAGCCCTGGCAGTGGAGTAGGGACTGTTAACCTATCAGTAAAGGTGCTGTGAAAGCTGCCTGTGAGCCTGAAATGAAAAAGGGAGCAGAGCTGGAATATCTTCAGCTCTTCAAGGACAGGAGTCCAAATCAGCTTTTGGCTGTCCTTAAAGGGGGGCACTAACACTACTAACTGCTCTGTCGGGGTGTTTCCATTGCCCAAAGTCGGTATGAAAGCATGAAAGGGGCAGTTGTTTTGCCCTAGCTTGAGGAAAGTCTGGTAGGCTGGAGTAGAGGGGATGTTAAAAGTAGGAGCATGATAGTATAGAATGCTTTGAAATGTGCATAAAGAAGGCAATGTTGGCATCTGCTAGAGCTATCTTTTTTGGAATTGTGCACATCATGAATTAATTAGCAATTAATTACTGGCAGCCCCATGCGGAAAGGCAAATTTCATCAAGAACACAGTAATGTTTAAGATACCTGTAAATATTCTGTCATCAAAACTGAAAACTCCTAAGTCTTTGTGGAGCTGTTTTCTGGAAATGAGTGCTGCTTGCTGTACGTATGGCTCTGTTCAGTACAAAATCCTTACCTGTTAGCAGTGCTGTAGAGGATAATAAGCTAGAATCACCAGCTTATTACCCTAGAGTTACGAGGGAGGGATGTGTTTGCTCTGGGAAGCTGGTGGTCTGAAGAGCCTCATTCTTGCATACAGATCTGCCACGTAGGCTTCTAACATCTCATGTCTCTGTTCTGCCCGCTGGCGGTTTTCCAGCCTCACAAAATCCAGAACAAGTGTTGCACAGCCAAGTATTCTGAGCTTCTGGCCTGCTGTCGAGGTATAGGCTGCTGGTGATGGTCAAGTAGATGGGAAGAGGGTTGTCTGGAATGGGCTGGTGATTCTAGCTTATTAAATATATGAATTTGAATGTGTAATGACCAGGTCTCTTACGTGGTTTATTAAGGGTGTAAATAATGACCCTAGCCTCCTTCTTTCCACCTTTTTTTCCAGTTATTCCTAGAGTGGTACTGGCAGGATCCAGCATGTAATTCAGACCAACCCACAGTTCTAGAAAGGGGGCCATGTCCAAAGGAACTATAGAGATGAGAATGAGGTTGGGAGAATGTAGGTGTGTTTCAGTGTGGAGAAGGGGAATATTTGCTCCTTAACTCACTCTCCTTCCTGAGCAACAAAGTTAACAATTCTTGACACACTTAGAGGTAGAATGTTAAAGTTCACTGACAAACTGAACTGTCAGTATCCTTCATAGCTAACAGGAACCTGCCCATTTTGCTGAGCCTCCTATTCCTGGTGCAGCTGCGGAGCAAGGGCATGAGGGAGCTGGACAGCACAGACTTCAAGCTGCTTCACCAAGGTGAGCTTGTGTGTATCCGTCTTCTCCCAGGGACTTTGATCTGTTTCAGTAGTTAATACATAAGATGATGAGGGGCTGGCTCTTGGTCATTTGAGAAGTGCATTACTCTTACTGTTGTTTTAAGATACTTTCATAGCCAAAGTGTTGCAAAGAGCTCTTGTTACCAGTTTAGGCAACAAAATACATTTTTTCTGCCTCTTGCAGAGGCAGATGTCTTTTGCAGTACATTTTTTGTTTGAAAACCTCAGAAGGTGGTTGAAATATTCTTGTGGCCATGACTTGATTTCAGAGCCTGTGACTGTTGTTGATGTGATACGTGATGTGCTGATGTGCTCTGTGTGTCGTCCTTCTCCATCCATGCTTGGTGCTGTGGTTTAGCCCAGCTGGCATCTGTAAACCACATAGCTCACATCCCCTCCAAGTGGGATGAGGGAGATACTGGAAACAAAATAGAACTGGAAACAAAAATGGGTTGAGATAAAAACTATTTACTGAAACAGAAGAGGAAAGTGGAAACAAATATGCAATGATAACAATATATATATACCCTCAATGCAATTACTTACCACCTGCCAGCTGACACCACGCTACCAGCACAAAGTCTCACCACCCACCCGAGTGAAATACAAACAGCCCCTGTGCAGTGACTGCCCTACAACTCCCTACAGCCTTACAGGTTTTCACATGATGTTACTTGGTATGGAAGAACCCTGTGCCTAATTCAGGCAAGCTGTCCTGGCTCCGCTGTTTGGCTGAAACCAGGACACTTGCTAGCACAGCACTGAGATCCTGGCCCCAGGGGTGTCCTGTGAACCAGCCAGTGGGGACCAACAGCCCAGTGTAGCCAGACTTCCCCTGGGATGTGAATCCAAATTATATTGGTCCCAGCCATTGGCAGGACTTGCCTGCTCCACTCCTGAGACGTAGAAGAGAGGAGTGTGTTTGTTTATTCCACGTATCCTGGCCTGCTCTCGTCTGCTGATTGTTAGTAGATGACTACTTCTCTCTTGCCTGGCAACTGGAGATTCATGCAGGCCATCAGTGAAGGATACTAGAAGAGTGTTCAGCTGATCATTCTCTCACCTCTTTCTGCTCTGTCAAATTGATTTCTACAGAAGACTTTGAAGGGTTATCACTTTGAATTAGAAATGTTCCATGTCTCAAGGCTGCCTGTGTTGTCCTTGTAAGGAAGCAGTGTTTCTCAGACATTCATTAGCTAAGGGAACTGGGACTGTGAAAGAATCATGTCTTTTTTATACCGGCTCTTCTTAGCCTCTGTAATTTCAGAGCATGGCTTAGCTGCTCTCAAAAGTCACAAGCTCCTTCTGCTTTTTCTTTCTGTTCTGTTTGTTTTGTTTTTCTACACAACTCTCTCTCTGCCCCAGCCACCCCTTCATTCCCTGTTTTACTTCTCAGCCTATGTTCTTGAAGGAAGAGTGCTCTTCTCTGATGAGGCCTACATAAAACCAGCCTGTAGATGGAAGGGGTGTAGGGAGGCATGTCAATCTGTTTTTTTTTTTTTTGCTTGTTTGTTTTTGAGAACTGCTTACTTAGAATTTAAGCTTTCCAAAAGATCTCCTATGATAGTGCTGTTGAGCTCTGCATTCCTGCATTTCCCTCACAAATTCTTGCTAAACACTGTTGCTAAATATTTGGTGCTTCCAGCAGGCACGGTGCGTTTATTACTTCTGTGAGCGGTGTGTCAGGTGAAGAAGCACAGCTCTTCCTACCATCCTCTGGTCTGGTTATTGGTCACCATGTGAAATGGACGTGTGGCTTTTTATGGTCTATCCAGTATTAGGATCAAATTTGCTCAATGGAATTGGGTAACTTATCTAATAGTCTGTAGTTCTTGGATTCATTACTGCCCACTGTGGTGTGTGCCCTTTAATATTCCCTTCTCTGTTGTTTTTGTTGTTTGTTTGTTTTGTTTTGTATTTGTTCCCCCTCCCTCCCCCCCCCCCCCACCTATTATCATCCTCCAGTACACTGTCTGGTCTAAAGCAGACTCTCTAGGGCTTGTTGCTTTGTTTGTACCATGCTCTGTTTAATTTTGCTTCAGGTTGTGTTGCTCTTGTCTGAATTCACTCCCAACTGACCGACTTCTTGTTTGTGCTGAGGTGCTGCATTATGTTGGTGTCTGCGTTAACGCATGTTCTTTTGTTTCCAGTCAGTAACCTCTGTGGGAAATGCAGGCCGAAAGACATAGACCTCCTGCAGCCATCCTTGAATTTTCTGTACTGTAGCCTTCATCAGACAACACCTTGTAGTCAACAGAGAGGTGAGGCAAGATTGTATTGATCGGTAAGCTAATCTCTGCAGGGTTGTGCCTTGGCCATCAGACATTGTGTTCTAACTGTCTCAGCAGGAAAGGTGGATTTTTCCCCTTTCTGATGCAGGGTTACGGTTAACAAACAACGCTTTGTGTTTGGGGTGATTTTTTCTTTTTAGATGGAGGGTTTGGCTTTTTTTTTTTGTTGCCTTCTGATGATTCAGGAGTTGGCTGCTGAGAGGCAGAACTGCTGTATTTTTTTTCTTCATAACACACAGCAGTGGGGCTTTGGTGCCTTGTTGAATTGTCCTGGTAATTGCCATGGTTCAAAAAATTAAACAATAATAGAGGCAGCAATAACCAACCTCCTCGCTGTGTTGGCTAAAGGCTGGTCATTTTAGTAGCAGCCTGAGAGGTCGCTCATGCTGTGGGAGATGAATAGTGTTGTAGCTGGACAGCCTTAGCTTGACCAGCCATGGCAGCTAGGGCTGCTTCACAGCAGCAGGGATGTGCTCTGCAATTCTCTTCTGCTTGTCAAGCTGATTTAACCTGTGACATCCCATCAGCCTCCTTGATTCATAGTGCAGCAGCCCAGATGCCTCTGTGTAGCCAGTTTCTCTGCATCCACTGCTGTAACCACTCCCACTGGGTACATATCACCATCCAGGAGTCAGTGTAGAAGTAGAGCACTGGCCACTTCTCTTGTTCAGCAATATCTTAAACCAGCTGGATGGCCTTCACTTCTGCAAATTGTCTCAATTTCCTGTGCAGGAGGGAAGATTTAGATTAGATGTCAGGGGGAAGTTTTTCACTGAGAGTGTGGTGAGGTGCTTGAACAGATATCCCACAGAGGTGGATAAACTGTGGATGCCCCATCCCTGCAGGTGTCCAAAGCCAGCTTGGATGGGGCCCTGGGCGGGCTGATTTAGTATGTGATCTAGTGGCTGGCAGCCCTGCCCGTGGCAGGGAGGTTGGAATTGAATGATCCTTGAAGTCCCTTTACAACCAAAGTCATTCTATAATTCTATGATTATGATTCATTCTGTTTCTCCTGTACAGCAGTGGCAGTGCTGCTCTCCAATGTGTCCTTGCTCGAGCTCCTCCAGAAGGTTTTGGAGTGCACCTGGATGTGGTCTTTTCCCTCTGAACCTACTTACCTGTCATCTGAGGATGCCTTGCTAAGCTCAGGATGGCTGCTGGCTGCTTCCCTCTTAATTTATCAGCATCGTTACAACACTGAGGTTAGAGCCATTCTATTCAGATCCATGGACTTGTGAAAATTTTAAAAAATAATTCTTTCTTAGCAGGGGAAAGTGGTTTGTTTTGGCCTGGAATCTGCTTGTCCTTGTTGCTTTTTTATTATTGCCTATTGCCAAGTTATTCTTTACTGCATTTCTCCAGCTGGACTGGAAGCTAGCATGTTACTGAAGAGTGAGACACAAATCACTGCAATTAGAGATGGGCAGAAATGCTGGGATTTGGGGGGAATGGGGAGGAAAACACCATACCCAGCCCTCCAGGTCCAAACCACTTTCTTCTTCAGGATAGAGCAAAAAATCTTTATCAAGGGAAAACTAGGGGTGGAGGAACAACTCCCATGGTTAGTTTTTTTTTTTTCTTTTGGTAGTAAAATGATCAGTAATCACAGTCCAAACCTCTTACTGTCAAATAAGTACTTAATGTTAGCAAACTCATATGAATTTAGGCAGCTGTCATTGTATTTGACGCTTTGCAGTCCAACAAGAGAGCTAGGCTGGAGCTGTCAGCTGCTGTTGGAACTACGAGTTAGAGGGAATGGAGAGCTTTTTGATGTGCACACAAGGCAACAACACTTCCTTCTGAAGTATCTACCCAGGCCTGTCTTCCCTCTCCTGAGATGGAGTTAAATAGCATGTCATGAGTTCTGAATTTCTGTGGTTATGCCTAGTAGGGTATATTCTTTGGTGCATCTGCTCATGGATGATGAAGTCACATTAAGGGCATGTTTGCATAAGCACAAGTAGGCAAAGATTGTTTTTTTAATGTTGAGGGAAGACTTTGGAAAAGACCAAGCTAGGTCAAGTCTGTACCTGTTACTTGATGGCTGTGCTGCCTCTGGTTAAGTGTTACCCTGGACTTGTAGTGACCATCAGCTGCGTGAGTGTATGGGAAAATCTTCCTGTCTCTGTTTTATTAACTGCTGAGTGCAATTTACATTCTCAGTTCTCAGGTCAGGGTTGTGTCTGGTCAGTTATGCCAGCCCCAAAGTGATTTTGTTCAGGTGACTAGTATTGAGTTTCACCTTCTGGGATTGACTCTCAGCTCATATTGATCCTTGAAGAGCAATCATTTAGTGGCTTATAAACTTGTTTGATTTCATCAATACCTTACTGGCTCGATATGCTATGATCTGCAATCCAGAATCCTCCTTGAACCAGAAACATGCAAAGAAATTACATATACAGATGGCAAATTGAAGTGGTTCAAGGATGTTTGAGTGTTTCTAATCTTCAGAACTTCTGAGCTTCAGTGTTTCTAATCCGCTGAGAGGAAGAAAAGAGGATAGAAAGAGTCACTTTGCTGCTTCCTGCTGCTCAGCGTTGCTGAAGCTTACAACAGAGCTACTTGGGTGCCTCTGTAGAGAGACCTTGTGATTGCGAACATGACCAGGCTGTATTTCTGAGCCTGAAATTCATGGCTTCAAAAATGTGAGTTGCCCACATTCACCTCAGGTGTGCATTAATAATGAGGACTTGCCTGGCCGTAGCAAGTTTATGTCTTAGCTGTGTTACTGCTCATGACTTTAGCAGAAGCCTGTGGGTAAACATGGGTTATAGGTGGTAGGCTACTAAAGGCTTTGGATTGCCAGTGCTTGGACAAGTAGCAAGAGCCACTCTGCTACAGCAGGTACTCCTAGCTCTTGTACTGAACATTCCTCTTTTCACAAAGGCAGCTGGAAAGAATCAGTTCTGTGATCCTGATGCCCATGCTCCCATACCACCTCTCTGCTTGCTGAACGGAGCAAGTTTGAACCCCTCTGGGCCTCTGTGATCATTCCTACCATCACTGCTTGGATGGCTGCTTTGTGGGGGTAACAGGATATTGCAGACTTCCCTCTCAAGCCCACCTTTCCTATATACTTGTTCCCAAGTTCCCAACTCCTCTGCCTCCTTTATGTATGTCTTCATGTCTCATCTGTAAGGAGGTTCTTAGCCTTAGGCACTCTGCAGGCTTCCCATACTGAGCAGGCAGGACCACAGAGCCGTGTTGTCACTGCTGGCTTTTGGTTGCCTGGCTCAGTGGCTGAAGTATAGCCAAGTTTGGTGATGGCTGTTGCTATTTTTTTTCATTTCATTCTCTTGCAGGTTCACCAGACACTTTCTCTAGACCTAAGACAAGTCCTGAATGCAATCATCTTCAGGAATAAGAAGCCAGTCCTGCTGTTAGGTATTTTGTTTCTGTTACGGGGACTTAACTGGGAGCAGCTGCTTATACAGTGTTGCAGGCAAGAAGGGAGATCTGGTGATTGTGGGATGGGAAGGTACAGGTCTTGGTAATCTGGAAGCTTTGAGACTAGATAACAGACTGTGAGAAGGGGCAAATGGAGTCTGGAGTTCTGCTGTCCATTTGGACAACTCTGTCCTGGCTGACAGTGACATCTGGAACTGAGTGTGAACTGGAACAGCGTCACGTGTGGTGGAGGTGAACAAGGGAACTTGCTGCCATTCCTGCCTGCTGTTGTGGGCAGTTGCTGGGCAATTCCACTGGGCCCACAAGTCCAAATTTTCTCTCCTCACCTCTCCCATGCTATTGCACAGGCACCAACATACAGGGCAGGGTAGGGGAAAGCACTGACGTATCATTGTGGCTTCCTGTCTAGTGAGCATCGTGCAGTTCCTGAGAGCCATTCTGCGACAGAACTTCTCCTCCCTGCTGGTGACTATTGTCCAAAACACAGCCCAAGGTACTACACAGTCACAGCCATCATCACTGGAAGATGCTGCCTTGCACCCCCTCACCAAGCAGCAGGTCTTCTCCCTTGTTGTCAGTCTGCAGAACCTTTTGGTGCATGTCTACTTGCAGGTATATAAAACACCAATTTTGGAACAACACATAAACTAACCCGAGGAGAAATCACCCTATTGCAGAATGAAAGGGGTCTGCCTTTTCTTTCCTTCTGCCTGCATTTTCCACCCTTATAGAAATGTGACGAGGAGGAGGAAAAATGCTCTTGCTGCAGTATGCAAGGCATGATGTAGTGTGAAAGAACGTAAATGAAGCTATGTAGAACTCCCTGCTGCTGAACTGGAGAGCTTAAATTTTGTGTGCTGATGACAATCTCTGTTACCCATCTCCTGCTCTGTGGGGGCTCCACACCCATAGGGACAGAGGTGGGAAAAATATATCAAATCTCAGCCCCTCCTCTACAGCCCTGGCAAGGTACTTTGATGTACAAGAGTACATCAACTTACATTTAGTCACTCAAGTGATGTTGGGCTCCAGGGGATGGTACATCGGCTTACATTTAACTCTCTTAAGCAACATTGGACTCCTATCTTTATTTTCTGGAAACAGTTACTTAATTTTTTCATCTCAGAATAAGTATTCGTGCCTTTGTCTGGCTCCTTGACATGACATATAATTTGCAGTATGTTACATCCTGTGAAGGAGGTGAAGGCTGTTATTTTCCTATGCTGCATGCTCTTCAGAGCCTGCCACTTTATGAATTTTCCTCTTGCAGTAGCTGTTGACTGCTTGTTTTTTCTTGTTTTTTTCTCCCCTCTTGGGACTTCAGAAAGACTTGCTGCTTTCTCAAGCTGTGGTTGCCTGCCTGGAAACATTACTGGAATACCTGTATGTGAGGAACCAGGATGTTGGTAAAGTCTTCTCGTCCTTCCTTCTACTGGGTTTCCATCTTGCAGTGATTTTGGGCTCTTTGATCTCCATCCTGTAATGCCTTGGAGCATATGCCTAATGCATTTATGCCCAACAAGAAAAATTATTTGTGTGATCAAAGTTAATCATGTGCTTTGTGGGATGAAATCACAGTGCCTGGTTCCCCTGTAGGAGTCAGCCTTCACTTGGACTGTGGATACCAAGATGTTCTACAGAAGAAAATAGTCACTACCACCCTATGCCTTAATATGATAAGAATGAAAGAGTAGTTAGTCTTTCACTTCCAAGCCAATATAGCAAACATTTAGACCATAAATATAGAGGAGGGAGGATCTGAATATGATGTGTCTTCCACACAGAGATGTTTGTCGCTAAGGGATGTGAAGGGAGAAGAGAGTAGTTAATAGCCTCAGAGAATGGAAGCTGGAAATTCTATATTTCCAGGGGCAAATACAGACCTTGGTTTCAGGAGTCCACGTCAGACCAAATGTATACCATATCAGCAGTATAACATGTGACAGCGTGGTACGGCTGGAGGAAGAGAAGGCCCTTCTGCTCATTGTCAGCCTCCTGTCACAAAGTAGAGATGCTGGCTGTGTTCATTAAACAGAAAGTTAGTTCTCTGTACTCTGATCTGTTCAAATCAGTCATGTAAACACAGAGAAAGAGGGGAACGCAGTGAATGAGCATGAGACAAAAAAGACATTGTTGGGAGAGAGAAAGCTGTTGAATGAAAATATAATAGTGCAGATGAATGACAGCCAGTAGCTGAAGGGAGTCTACTAAGAGGCTTGTTATGAGGGCATTACACTGATTTGGGATTAAGATAACAAAATGTTTCAGCTGAACCCTTCACTTGTCTGCCTAAATTCTTACTGTGGTGCAGTTCACAACACTGACAACAAGAATCTTCTTATCCTCCCCCAGCACTTTACTTGATTTTTTTTTTTTTTTGGTGTTGCTTTACCATGGACAAGATTGTTGTAGTAGCAACAGGGAGATTATGTGACTGCCAGTGGAAAAGGAATCTTTCTAAAGCAAAGGGCTCAAACCAATTGGTGAACTGTCAAGGTATAGCAATTATATCAGCTGACCTGTTGTAATTGTCCATCACATGCTTTCAACCAGTACAAGGTAATACAACTTAACTTTAGAGCGCAGTGAGAGATTTTGTATTGTCATAGATGGCAACCTTGAGTCTAATCTCTGTTTATCATATACACTTCTAATTAGAAATGTTTTCTCTACTGATTGTTTCCACTGCTGCCATCAGCCTGGCTGGTCCCTGTAGTATGCTTTCTGATGCAGATCCAGGCTCAGTTTTTGCAGCTTATGTTATAGGTCTTCCTTCGTTACCCAAGGAGTATCCTGCAGCTAAATAAAACCCGCGTTCAGGAACCTTGTCCTCATATTGAAACCAGAGGGTATTATTTTTGAAACCTTGGGCTAAAGATATCCTCTTACTATTTTATGACATGAACCCCAGGAGAGGGTTTATCTTCCTGTACAAGCACAGAGGTGGACAAAATGTATTTTGTGTTTTAAAAAGCTGTCAAGCTTTAGTCCTCACGAATAAACTTGTGCCCAAAGAGTGACAGATTTTAAAGCAAGTAAGTACAGAGCAAAAAACTCCCTTAGTGTTCCACAGCTTGGGGTCTAGAAGTGAAAATACAAGGTCAGAGTTGAAGACTCCTTTTCCAGATCCAGCCTGTCCCTTGACAGATTTTAAAGGTATCTTTCAGTGGCTTCTCCTTCTCTCCCAGCACTACATGTTGCTTCACAGCCCTGGCACCGATTCCTGCTCTTGACACTGCTCAATGGGAGCCAGAAGTCCATTCTGCAGCCAGAAATTCTGAGGCTCATGACTTTGGTGAGTGAGGGCAGGGTAGACTGTTCTGTTTTTTTCTTCCATGTTGGTACAGTGCATCTGAGTTGGTTACTGGAACTTAGTTCCTGCACTTACACAATCTTGGATACTGCTGTGGTTTTGTCCGTCACTGTATTTGTGTCCTATAATAATTGTACTTTGAAGTGAATTTCCTTTCCATGCTGTGCAGAAAGTGACTGCTCATAGTGAGCACATCCTGTTCTTCTGGTGTTTGTAGCATTGATTTAGCATCACCTAGGACCCCTGCAGAGGAGAGGGGAAGACTACAGAGAATGCGCAGCTGCAGTTGGGAGTGTGCTATGGCTCTTTGGAGGGCAGGGCTTTGCGTGGCATCACTGCTTCTCTCCCTGTCTTTGGCCTTACAGACCTAACTTCTAAGGTCAGAGAACTACTGCAGTGTATGACCCCAGTGTACCTGGGGCCTATGAGCAGGAAAGGAAGTGTGCTCCTACCCAGCAGAAACACCAATGATAAAGCCCTCATAGCAGTACATGAGAGGAAGGGGTTATATATGTGAACTTTCTTTCTCCAAATAGATGATGTGTCTGTCAATCTTTGTTATTCTTGTTATACACTTTGAAGGGATACTTGGCTCATTGTGATTCTTGCCTGACCTAAACCAAAACAAGTTTCAAGCCAGAACACCACCAATTTGCACTTGCACTGGTTCTGTTAGAAATGGTATAAAATCAGGCCTGTGATTAGCGTGCTGCAGCGTCCTTTTAACACAGAAGAGTTCTTTTCAGGTGATGAATCGCTACTGGAGTCTGTGGGTCACTCGCTGATTAATGCCTCTCATTTCCTTTGTTCAAGTTTCTGAAATATCAGAGCAGCAATATCATTTCTCAAAAAGAAATTGGCCAGATTCTCCAGGAAGTGGCAGAAGCCAACTTACTAGAGCTGCCAGAGGCCACATCTCAGGCTCTTCAGCTGTTCCTCTGCCAGGTAAGAAAGCAGTGACTGCCTAGGAAAATGAGAAGGGAGTACCCTAAGGGGTTGCCCCTAGTCTTTGATGGGGAGTCATAAGCTTCCTCTGAGGCTATAGTGAGATGATGAGGAGTCCTGCAGCTGCTAGCTTGACCTTGAGTGGTGAAATGAGAACATGACTGATGCCAGCAGCTGCCTCAACTGTGTTGTCCGTATTGTCATGGGCCCCTTGATCAAAGTTTGGAGGTCTCATTGCTCTGGCTGGAGATGCAGGAGGAATGTGTGAAAGAACAACAGTTTGCTGTTCATCTGGAAAACATTTCTTGTCCTGATTGCTCAGATTCAGAGCAGCCATTGTCAGGTGGAGCCAGTGCAGGCACAGACCATTCAGACTTTGCTGGAGCACCTTCCAGAGCGGATGAGCACCTGTGCAAAACATCAGGACATTGTGTATCCTTTTGCTGGGCAAATGCCTTTGATAAGAAAAGTGAGGGGGGAGCTGTAACAGAAGTAGAAGGGATACTTAATCTGCTGCTCCTGTTTGCCAAAGGCAAACAGTGCAAAAAGTTGGCTAACTTTGAGATGAAATACCTCAACACTCTCAAATTTGAGAAGACGTCCGGGAAATGAAGAGACGTTTGGGATGAAAGATGGCTGTCTGTGCTGGGATTGCATTAATCTGTAAGGCAGAGATGGTGTAATGAAAGGGAGGTAGGCTGGGGCACCTGCTGACTTCAAAGCAGAAGCGATTCCCATACTGATTTCCCTGGGGGCTGAGCAGCCACTTAACCTCTGTCTGTGAGCTAACTAGCACTGCTAAGCATGTGAAGTCTTGGCAACCCATAGGTAACTCAAACACTTTTAAAGTACAGCAAGTGTTCAGAAACTGCTGAGTGAAGTTACTGAATCTCTTTTTGCTTCACATGAGCACTGGAGTCCCCTGCTGAGAACCAAATCCTTCTTCATGGATGGGAGGGGCAACTCCCAGATTTCTTTTGGGGAAAGAGGGAACCTGATACCCCTGCTAAATTCAGTGTTGTTTGTTTCTGAAACTGCCTTCCGGTCTTCATCATGCCGTGTTGCATCAAATAGGTAGCAGATATGGAACGGTCCCCAGCAATGATTTCCTGTTGGGTGGGGGACTTCCTCCCTCGTGTCTGCGGGGTGACACTGTCCTCCGCCATGGGCAGCATCTGTGGCAGGTGAGGTGTGCATTATCTGTGAGCAGTGGCTTGTCCTCGTGCCTAGTCCTTGTGTGACACTGCCTCTCTGCAGTTGGAAGCTGGGGGTGGAAGTTCTCATGGTCAAGACCGTGTAAGCCACATCAAGTTCCTCTTTGCTGGTCTGTGTAGGGGTGAGGGAGGGTGGACGAGAGTCTTTTTACATTGCTTGAGTAGTTTGGATACCTCTGTTTTATTGAGAAAAAGCTTTCTTCAGGTTCACCCACATGAACATTCCCCATGGGTTGGTGAGATTCCGTGGTTTGGGAGAGAGGTAGTTTAGTACGATGATACTTACGGGTCTCTTCCAACTCGTGATATTCTATGATTCTACCTCCTGTCAGCACTGTGTCAAATGTGGGAATTCCAGTGTCATGGTGGATTTTCAGCTGTGCTTTCCCTTTGGTTTCCACTCATGCCATCGATGACAGATGTGTGGGCAGTGTGGCGATAGCCCTGCCACAATGAAGACTGAGATGAGAAGATGGGGTACACGCAACAGAGTGAGAGAACAGAATGGAGACAGCATCCTGCCATTTATTCCCTGCAAGTTGTAGAGAGGAAGTGGACAAAGGAAGTTAGTTTGTTGTTAAATTTTTGTTGAATATCATTCATAAAGCAGAGTTTCTTAAGCAGTTCCTCTTTTTGTGTTCTGTTTGGGATGCCACTTAGCTGACACTCTGCAGATAGTAAACTGCAGCACTGCTGGATGGCACGTGGTGGGTGAGGTGCTCTTGTCTTCCTTGCTGTGGGATGAGGCCATCCTGAGCTGTGTCTCACTGGGAAGGGGAGAATCAGAGAATTGAGTTGGAAGGGACCTTCAAAGGCCACCTGGTCCAACTCCTCTGCAATGAACAGGGACACCTACAACTCGATCAGGGTGCTCAGAGCCCTTCCAGCCTGACCTTGAATGTCCCCAGGGATGGGACCCCATCCACCATCTCTCTAGGCAACCTGTGCCAGTGCTTCACCAGCCTGATTGTAAACAACTTCTTATATCCCTTCTAAACTTCCTTTCCTATCATTTGAAACCATTTCCTCTTGTCTTATCCTAGCAGACTCTGCTAAAGAGTCTGTCTCCTTCTTTCTTATAGCCCCCTTTAGATACTGAAAGGCTGCTCTAAGGTCTCCCCGGAGCCCCAGCACTCGGTCTGTGTTCACAGGGAGGCGTTCCATCCCTCGGGTCATTTCTGTGGCCCTCCTCTGGACACGCTCCAGCAGGTCCACGTGTGTCCTGCGCTGAGGACTCCCCATGTGGCCGCAGCACTCCGGGTGAGGTCTCGCAGTGCAGAACAAAGGGACAGGATCACCTCCTTCACAACGCCGGTCGCACCGCTCCGGACGCAGCCCGAGGTACGGCGGCCGGTGGGGCGGGGCGGGAGCTCAGGAAGTGACACGGCGGGGCGGGGCGGGAGGCGGTGGCGGCATGGCAGCGCGGCGCTTCTGAGCGCCGCTCCCGGCCCCGCTCCCGGCCCGCAGGTAGGGGGTCGGGGCGGCGCGGGCCGGGCGGGTCAATGAGGGGCGTGCGTGCGGCGGCTGCTCCGCGGGGCCGGGCCGGTGCCGAGCGTCGGAGGGGAGCCGCGGGCTGCTGCCGTAAGCTGTCCCGCACGTTGGCCGCTTCACGGAAGACCGTGGCACCCTCCGTGCGCGCGAGAGAGGGGCAGCCCGGAGCGCTCAGCCCCGATCGAGCGCTGCTTGGAAGAGGAACTCCATCTCCCTGAGCCCGCAGCCGTGCAGAGCCACCGGGTGCTGCCGAGCCCTCCGCAGGCGGCTCTGTCGCTGGAGGAGATCGCAAAGCTGTGCCGGTGATGTCCCCGCGATAGGAGTCTGAGTTCGGCGGGTGAGGGACTCGGAGGCGAGCAGATGTGGCCGTGCCATCACTGTTCCGCGCGAGCATTCCCTGCCGAGCCTCGCGGAGGAATGCCGCGGGAGCAGTCTGGCACCCCGCTTAACTTCTGAAGCTTTCGGTTCGGGCTGTGACATGAGATTGAGCCACGTATGCTTGGCGGTGTGCGGATGGACTCCCGGTGGTGCAGCGGCCCGTCGTTTCCCCGTTCTGTGCTTCTGCACTGAGGAGGGGAAGCAGGGCTGTGCCGTGCCGTTCTCTGAGATGCTCGGTTCGGATGCAGCTCCCTCGGGAGAATCTATAAAGTAATTAAAAAACACGTTAATGGGAACCGCTAACTGTCTATAGTGCAGCGTCTGTCGTGCTTTCGAGAAGCATATCTAAATTAAGAGAATGGGAGACAGCGAGGCAGACGGGTGGGCTCTGTGTGCAGCAAGCAGCTGGTTGGGGCTGCTGGGGATCACAGGGGAACTCCTTCCCATCTGCTGCACAGGACAGGCCCTGGCAGCCTGGTGCTTGCTTTTGCAAAGAGGGGAGCAGCTCTGCAGCGTTTCTCTTCACCCAAAGTGAGCTTGAAGGCACGAGGAAGGGCTCCTGGGGAGTGTGGAGGAACATCTGCATAGAGGGTTTTGCATCCCTGTGCTTAGCTTAGCTTAGCTTAGAGAAGGAGGGTCATTGTTTGGGTCATGACCTCATGCTAGAGTCACAGGCAGTGTTCAGGTTGCTTAAATTAGGGAAGATTCAGGCAAATCTTTCCCAATTCTGTGATGTAGTCTGGGCTGGAGTGTGCATATGGTGTGTGAGCTGATGGGGCTCTGGTGGTGCAGGAGCACAGCACGTTGCTTTTGGCACAGGAAGCACTGGAGGGGGCTGCTCAGTAGTGATGGAGTTCCCATCCCTGGGGGTATTCGGGAAATGTGTGGATATGGCACTAATGGATGTGGTTTATTGGTAGGACTTGGTCAGTCAGGTTAATTATTCAACTTGGTGATCCCGGCACGGTGCCTTGGTGCTGTGTGTGAGCAGGGGATGGCAGTGGGTGTGCAGCGAGGACGCAGGAACCTTGTCTATGACACAGCAATGGCTGTTTTGGGTCTGGTGGGCTGGCAGGACTCCTGTGGGGAACATCTCTGCATTGTCACTGGTTTTGTCGGTTTTGTTCCAGGCTGTGGCCTCCAAAATGGATTTCCTCTGGATCTGCCTCATCCTTTTGGCAGTGGTGCTGCCTGAAGGCAGCCTGGCAGACCTGGAGAAGCAGAGGATGGGCTCTGGATTGGAGATCTGTATCCTTTCCCGTAGTGCCGTGCCTCTGTCACGCTCACACCTCAGGAGACTGTGGAACACTGGCATGTGAGGAGATGGCTCAAGGGGGATGGAGGAGAGAGGAGAGAAGGGCCCTAAGGCTATGCTTATTGCTAACGACATGGGAACAAAGTGTCACATGGCTGCTGGGCATGACTTTGAGCAACCCGATGTTGCTTTGATCCTGCCTGGAGCAGGGCTGACACTGCATACCTCCAGGGCCCCATATTGCCACCTGCTAGTTCTTGGGCAATACGAAATAGCAACCCCTGCTCAAATGTTGCCCCAGCATCAACCAGCACTGTTGAGCATTTTCCTCGTCTCCCTTTTATAGGAGGGAGTTGTTAATGAGATGTCGGGGCTGGTTCTGAGGCAAGTTTTTCAGGTGGTGTCTGATGTTCTCCTCATGCAGTGCTGTTTCTTTCTGCTCCTGTGTGCTGGGTGTTAGCAAGCGCCCTGTTGGAGTATCTGGAATCCAATCTCTTGGCCTCGATATCCCACTCCCAGAACTGGGCTAAGTCTTTCTGGGAGCAGGCTGTGAGCATGCCCAGAGCCCCACAGTGCCCTTGACATCACTCCAGATAAGAAACTGTTCGAGGTGAAGCGCAAGGACCAGATGAATGCCCTGAAGAACCTCATAGAGCTCAATGACATTAACCAACAGTATAAAATCATTGACATCATGCTCAAGGGACTCTTCAAAGTGAGTGTGGAGTGGGCTCGGTGCCGTGGGGCAGGGATGGGTTTGGGGCACCTGTACAGTGATGCTGGGGAGGGCAGGCAGCAGAAGTAGGGCTCACAGATGAGCAGAAAGGGGAACAGAGGGACACAGCGAGGCACCTCATGGGATGAGAGGGCAGTGACTGAGAGCTCTTGCAGGTGCTGGAAGACTCCCGGGCTGTACTCATAGCAGCAGATGTGCCACCGGATGGGCCTTTCCCCCAGGATGAGAAGCTGAAGGATGGTGAGTGCTCCATATCACTTAAACCCCTGGCTAGGATCTTGAAGCCTGCATCCTCTCTCCCACTCCTGTCCTTGGGGGTTGTCCCATGTCCATCCTTGGTATCCCATGTCTGGTGATGCCCTAAAGCTGGCATTTTGGGGTCTGTGGGGTGTCCTGCTGATGGGGCTGTTCCTCTCTTCCTCAGCGTACTCTCATGTGGTGGAGAACACAGCCTTCTTTGGGGACGTTGTGCTGCGCTTCCCCAAGATCGTGCACCACTACTTTGACCGCAACTCCAACTGGAACAACCTGATCCGCTGGGGCATCGGCTTCTGCAACCTGACGGGCGTCTTTGAGCAGGGGCCCCACTCCCAGCTCCTGGGGCTGGTATGGCCCTGAGGTCACTTTTGGGGGTCTGCAGGGGGCAGAGGGCAGGCAGAGGAGTAGGGGCTGGTAGGGACTGAAGTTTCTGAGGGGTGGGAGGAGGTGGTGATTACAGTCTCCCACAGGGACTTTGCTTTGCTCCACAGATGGCTCAGGAGCTGGGCATCAGTGAGAAGTCCCCCAATTACCGCAATCCCTTCAAAGCTGACCACTCTGAGGTAGGGTGGCCGAGCCACATAATCCCCCTCTTCTGTGACTCCACTGGGTTTTGGTTTTGGTTGGGTTTTTAAGAGTTTTTATTGTTGGGTTTTTACTGTTTTTTTTGATGGGCTTTGGAGGGTTTTTGTTGGGTTCTGGTTGGGTTATTACCGGGTTTTTGCTGGGCTTTGAAAGGTTGCTGTGTTCTGGTTGGGCTTTGGAGGGTTTTTGTTGTATTATGATTGTTTTTTTTGTTGGGCTTTGGAGAGTTTTTGTGGGGTTCTGGTGGGTTTGTGCTCCACAGGAGATGCCAAGCTCTGGCTCCACTCTCCCTCACAACACTGAACTTGTCATTTCCTTCGTGCTTCCATCTCCTGCCCACCCCAGTTCTTCCCCAGCGCTGACACCTTCCAGAAGGCGCTGCGCGAGGAGGAGAAGCGGCGCCGGAAGGAGGAGAAGCGCAAGGAGATCCGCAAGGGCCCGCGCATCTCTCGCTCGCAGTCTGAGCTGTAGGCCCGGGTGGGCCGGGACCTGCATCGATGCAGCCGCTCCCACCCATGGCTGGGCTGGAGATGCCCTGCCAGCCGCTTCTGTGAGTTTCAGGGTGGATTTTTGTTTTTCAGTCGATGCGGCCCAGTGGTCCCACGGCCCCAAAGTGGGGCTATCCCTGAGCAACGGGCGCTGGGGCACCACTCGTCAGATGGGTGCAAAGCCGTGTGCTGGGGACGGGGCATGCGTTGTTTTTCTGGAATAAATCGGAACGGTTGTTATTTTTTTTACGACGAGGCTTCTTGCTCGCTGCCATGGAGAAGGCGGTGGGCAGGGCCGTGGGCGCGGCGCGGGGCTCACGCTCGTGGGCTAGGCCATGCCCCCTCATGAATATGTAGCGCGTGAGGCAGGGGGCGTGGTCTCGCATGCTAATCGCAGCTGCTGATCGCCGACGCGCCATCACGCCACGCGGCGCTGCGCGCTCCTATTGGCTGTCGCCGACCTGGTCCCAATGACAGCGCGCGGGGGGGCGGGGCCAGGCAGGTGGGGGCGGGGCCGGGGCGGTGCAAGATGGCGCGGGGCCGGCGGCGCCGGGCTGCTTCCTCCGCTTAGAGCGGGCGGGGAGCGGGACGGGGCCGTGCGACATGGAGAGCGGCGAGCTGGGCGCCGAGGGCATGGAGACCCTGACTGAGCTGGGCGACGAGCTGACGCTGGGCGACATCGACGGTGAGCGCGGGGCCGGGCGGGAGCGCGGGGCTCGGTGCTGTGCCACGCGTGGGCTACGTGGGGGTGCGGGGAAGCCCCCGCAGCGCGTGTTGGCGGGTTTGAGTCATGCGCGTGACGTCACGGGGAGCAGCGTGACGTCAGAGGGCAGCGGGGGGCGAAGCAGTAATTAGTGCCGATCCTAACGAGTGGCCCGCGGGAGGGCCCTGTATCCAAGCATGGAGTGCGTTGGAGCACATCCAACGCGTTATGTCCGCCCCTTACCTGCGTGGGGCCACCTGCTCGCAAAATGGCAGTGTCATCGAGTGGGAAAGTGCCGTGTTGTGTGTCCTGGGTGCGGCGTGGGGTGGTGTGGGGAGAGCCCTACTGCCACTCCTTCACCATAAACCCCAGTGCTGCTTCCATACCTGTGTACAGCCCCTGCGGTGTCTGTGCAATGTGGGGTCCTGTGTGTCGGATGTTGGGATGGGATCGGGGAGCTCAGATGGGCATCGGGGGGCAGTCAGGAGGAAGCTTTGGCTATGGGATCTCCTTAGGCATACCCATGCATTTCTCAGCTCGAGTTCTGCAAGTTCTGTTTTCTTGAGTGTGTTTCCCCTATTTCCCTGTATACCTGAAATTACCCGTAGTCAGGATGAGTCACCGTCCGCGTGTCCCGGTGGGGCTCTGTGGGCAGAGGATGGGTGGTGTGAGGCAGCCCTAGGTGGGAGGACGGCTCTTACTGAAGTCATGGGGCTGCTCATCCTCCTCCTCCGAGCGTGAAGCTGGGATGGGGATTGGACAAATGGCAATGGGCTGAAAATATTGGATCCCGAAGTCTGGGAGTGTTTCAACACAGAGTTACTGGCTACCTCTGGGGCTTCTGAAGCTGCCGCTTCCTCCTGTGCCCACTGCTGGCCTCTGAGTCCTGACCCTGTGTCCCATGTAACCAACCAGCCCCAAATGTTCCCTTTCCTTCTTGCAGAGATGCTGCAGTTCGTCAGCAACCAGGCAGGGGACTTCCCAGACCTGTTTTCGGACCCTCTGTGTGGCACCTTCCAGGGTGGCGGCGGCGGTGGTGGCGGTGGCACAGGTGGTGGGGCCCTGGATGCTACGCGGTCCTATGGCCAGGCCCAGCAGCCCTTCCCTCCGCCCGCCGCCTCCCCACAGCTGCAGAGCATCCCGGTGAAGGTGCCACCAGCCCCACAGCGCCCAGCCCCGCTGCTCCAGCCCCGGCCCCAGCTCCAGCCCCAGCTCCAGCAGCAGACGGTGATGATCACCCCCACCTTCAGCTCTGCGCCCCAGACCAGGATCATCCAGCAGCCCGTCCTATACCAGAACACGGCCACGAGCTTCCAAGGTAGCGTTGGGGTTGGTTGTATCCATAGCAGAAAGTTTAGAAGGCCTCAGCACGGTGCAGTCCCTGACGTCTCTCCTTGTTTGCAGTTCTCCAGCCCCAGGTGCAGAGCCTAGTGACGTCCCCCCAGGTGCAGCCAGTCACCATCCAGCAGCAGGTGCAGGCGGTGCCGGCCCCACGTGTGCTGACACAGGCTGCTGGTGGCACCATCCAGGCACTGGCACCCGCCACAGTTCAGACGGTGGCAGCACCACAGGTCCAGCAGGTGCCGGTAAGTGGAAGTGAAAGAGCCTGGCCCATCCACCTGGCTCTCACCTTTAGTAGGTATTGATAAGTGTTAGATAAGTGTTTCTTCACTGGGGAACACTCCCTGTGAAAAAATTGTTCGGGTTCAACTGTATCAGGAATAATTGTATCAGGAATGATGTGGTGAGCAGGACTAAGGAAGTAATCCTGCCCCTGTACTCGGCACTGGTGAAGCCTCACCTTGAGTACTGTGTTCAGTTTTGGGCACCTCAGTACAGAAAGGACATTGAGGTGCTGGAGCAGGTTCAAAGAAGGGCAACAGGGCTTGTGGAGGACTTGGAGAATATGGCCTGTGAGGAGAGACTGAAGGATTCGGGGGTGTTTAGTCTGGGGAAAAGGAGGCTGAGGGGAGGAGACCTTATTGCTCTCTTCCAGTATCTGGAAGGTGCCTACAGGAAGAGTAGGGTTGGTCTTTTCTCAGTGGTGACAGGTGACACGATGAGGGGAAATGGCCTCAAGTTGTGCCAGGGTAAGTTTAGGTTAGATATCAGGAAAAGCTTCTTTACAGAAAGGGTTGTGAAGCGCTGGAATAGGCTCCCCACGGAGGTGGTTGAGTCACCATCCCTGGATGTGTTTAAAAACCATTCAGATGTGGTGCTCAGGGACGTGATTTAGTGGAGGGTTGTTAGAGTTAGGGTAGCATGGTTAGGTCGTGGTTGGACTCGATGATCTTTAATGTCTTTTCCAACCTGAATGATTCTGTGATTCTGTGATTCTGTTTGGGCCCTCTGTAGTGTTCTCTGTATTTGAGAGTCAGTGAAGTACTTGAAAGAGCAACAGCCAGATGTGTCACAGCTAAATAACTGTTCTGACATCCTCCCAGTTAAGTGAGAGGAAGGAACCGCTGCTGGCACTGGGAGGTGCTGTGGCATAGAATCATTAAGGGTGGAAAAGATCACTAGTATCCAACCGCCAGCCCATCCCCACCATGCCCTCTGACCATGTCCCTCAGTGCCACATCCACACAATTCTGGAACACCTCCAGGAATGGCGACTGCACCACCTCCCTGGGCAGCCTGTGCCACTGCTGCACTGCTCTTTTGGAGAAGTTTTTCCTAACATCCAACTCAAACCTCCCCTGGCACAACTTGAGGCTATTCCCTCTCATCCAGTCACTGTTACCCCCACCCATGTGTTGTACCCTGAGGGCTCCCCCAGCTGACACAGGAAACTTGCTACAAGCAAGGGCACAGGAATCCTTTCATCAGCTCCTTGGTGTTTTTCAGCACTGGCTTACTACTGGTCTCTGATGTCAGCACCAGTGGGTTGTCACTGCCTCTGACCACTGAGAGGAACAGAGCAGTGCATGCCCACTCATCTCCTCACCTCTGGCTGTTCCCTGTGCAGGTTCTGGTCCAGCCTCAGATCATCAAGACAGATTCCCTCGTGCTGACCACGCTGAAGGCGGATGGCAATCCTGTTATGGCTGCAGTGCAGAACCCAGCGCTCACTGCACTCACCACTCCTATCCAGACCACAGCTCTGCAGGTACCACTGTTAATACTCTTCTTCCTCCCCTCAATGACGTTATTTCCTAATACAAGAAGGTTTGGTGTTCGGAGTTCTCCAATGGTGTGGATGGGAGGGGTTCCAAATGCTACTCTAAACATGTCCAATGTGAGTAATGTGCCCCTTCTGCCAAGGCTGAGAGCACAGACTGTGCATTTTTGGCAGCCTCCCATGGCCAGTAAACACAGAGCAAGGGCACGGTCCTGTTTACCTTTTTCTAGCATTACTAGGAGAGGAGTGTGACCGAAGAATTCCATGTGGTTTTTAACCTCCGTGAAAGACGCTTAAAGCCAACTGACTCAGGATGGCTGTGGATCTTTCTTTTCCTTTCTCCCTCTGTAGAATCCAATGGCAAAACGTTGAATGTAAAAACTAATTAAACTACTCCTCAAAGGGCACGTGCTGCAAGGGGTTAGGGTCATCATTCAAGATGGCAGCAGTGCTTCAGGGCCATGACTTATCAGCTTGGAGATGCTTTGTGCCCCAAAGAGGCTTTTATCACAGCCTTGTGCATTCTGCAAAGGTCCTTCTGTTCGAATATTTACTGCTGGAGATAAGCTTGCAAGCCTGGACTTAACTTCTGTCTGCATAGCATGCTGGGGTTTCTATGCCCTTGGTAGCAGCCAGACCAAAATTTTCAGTTTACTTGCTGTTAGGTCTCACTTGGTCATGGAGATGAGGCTCATGTGATTGTGACTGGCAAATACACAACCCACAGAGCATTCTGAATGCACTGAAATATGCTGGAAATTAACTAAGGAGAGATGGAAGACTTAAATTTACTTATTTGTCAACTTCCAGCTTTAAGTGAACCTACATTAATTTCTGTAATGCCAATTAGAAAACTATTTCAGAATTGAAGTCGATTCTTAGTTTGCTTGGGGCTGAACTACTACTGTTGCCTGCATCAGTCTGACTTTTAGTGTAAATGACTCTTCCGTAGCAACTTCTCTGATTCTGGGTGTGCTTCAGAGACCAGCTGTACCCTTCCCAATCTTACATTTCTGGTTGGAGCAGTCTAAATGATTTCCTTTGGTCTGACTGTCCTAGATTCCCCTCTGTGCAACCATTCTGGTGGGATTCACTATATTTTCTCCTGTAGTACGTGCTGCTTTGGCTGGGAGGAGGTGGTCTGTTTATATATAAACCATAGAATCATTAAGGTTGGAAAAGACCTGTAGAATCACCTCATCCAACTGTCAGCCCATCCCCACTGTCCCTCAGTGCCACATCCAAATGATTCTGGAACACCTCCAGGGACGGTGACTGCATCACCTCCATTACATCCCATCCTATTATTGTTACCTGGGAAAAGATGCCAACCCATCTTGCTACAACCTCCTTTCACGTTGTTGTAGAGAGTGACAGAAGTCCAAGCTGTTCACATCAGTGTGTATCACTCTGCCTTAATACCTCATCTGAATGCATTTTGTAGCTTAATGTAGTTAGGGATCTATTTTTTTCCCCTATGCAGTCTAATTCAAATTAACTTCAAGCTAGAGTTTATCTTTCCACAGTCAGAACCCCTCTAATGTTATAGGTTCAGAAGTAGCATTGCCTGTTGTTGATCCAGTGACTTTCTTCATGCATTTGGAGATGTGGGGACTCTAATAGCAGGAAGGAGGTTTGGTCCATGTCTCTGTTTGAATTGTGGATGATCAGAGCATGGTATTGGTGAAAGGGTGTTGGGGTGATGATACTCTCGGAGAAAAGAGCTCCTTTTACTGTGGGAGGCAGCGTGGATGTTTTTTCCTATGCTACTGTTCCCATACTTGTGCCAGCTAAGGAACATGGGAAAACGGTGTACCTCTTCCTTTTTTGAGCTTTGTGGACTTTTCTTGATTCTGCTTTTGTTTACTCTGTTTGCTCTTGGCATCATAATCTTGTCTATATTGGCTGATTGCTGGTGATACTTTGCTGCGTGTGGTCTTTGTAGACCCTTGTTGGGAGCAATGGAACCATTCTGACCACAATGCCAGTGATGATGGGACAAGAAAAGGTGCCTATCAAACAAGTTCCTGGAGGTGTCAAGCAACCAGACCCACCAAAAGAAGGAGAAAGGAGAACAACTCACAACATCATTGAAAAGCGTTACCGATCCTCTATAAATGACAAGATCATTGAGCTGAAGGACCTCATCATGGGGACAGATGCCAAGGTAAAAAAAATGTGCAGTGACAGCAAGTGTGGTGTCAGGAATACTTGTGTCCTCAGGTGCTCGTTGCTTTATTAACAGACTGCTGTTAGGAGTATGCGCATGCATATTGCAATAAGATAAAATTCAAAACAGTGTCTTCTTGCACAGAGCTTTCCAATTTGATTCCAGTAAATATTGAGATGTATTGAAGCCACCTTGGACCATGTTTGACTTGTGCTGTTTGCTGTACGTCATGCTGGCAGCCTGTGCTGGAAGCATGTATTTTCATGGGGATGGAGGAGGGACTGAGCAGTGGAGAGAACTACTTATATCAATTGAATGGTGAACCCTGGTTAACTGACAGCAGCTTGCTCCATCATCCTGGAAAAGACATTCATTTCATTTCAAAACTATGATACTTTGATACTTTCAAAAGACTATTTCTGACTGAAGTCAAGACATGAGCTCTTGTGATTGGGATGTTAATCAGTTTTCATTGTACTGCTTTTGTAAAAACGTTGAGAAATCTCAGATACAAGAACTCAAGCTCTGTTGTCCAGTCCTTATGTGTCTTTCAAAGTGGGATACTTTGGCCCAGAACATGTCCTGCTATTCATTTCCTTTTGCTAATGCCAGGTGGCCCTCTACTCCCTTCTATTTGTGTCCTTTTTGTGATACATAGGGTTGTGGTACCCCTATGAGCAAGAGCGATCCTGGAAGCACATAGTACAAACTGCTTTCTGTGTGTCTTAATTCCTTGCAGATGCACAAGTCTGGAGTTCTGAGAAAAGCCATTGATTACATCAAATACTTGCAGCAGGCCAACCATAAGCTGAGACAGGAGAACATGGTTCTGAAGCTGGCTAACCAGAAAAACAGTAAGTTGTGAGTGTGCAGGAAGGAGGTGGTCTGCATGAATGTAGGCTGCCTCTTTCAGTTCTTTGTCATTGGCAGCGGTAGATAGGTGCATGCTGCATGGGGGTGGCCTGTGTTCTGAGCAGGGTGTAGGATAGCAAGATGTGTGCATGATGTGTTCTGGTTCTTGCAGAACTGCTGAAAGGCATTGACCTAAGCAGTCTGGTTGACAACGACGCGGACCTGAAGATAGATGACTTCAACCAGAATGTTCTTCTGATGTCTCCTCCCGCCTCTGATTCGGGATCACAGGCTGGCTTCTCCCCCTATTCCATTGATTCAGAGCCAGGAAGTCCACTTCTTGATGATGCAAAGGTATTTCTGACTTGATTTGTCAGAGTTTATATTGTCACAATTTTCAAGAATGGAGCTAGCAGACGTTGGGCAAGCAGAGCTGTAGGGATCAGGCATATATTGTAAGGATGAGGAAGCTGCATGGGAGTGCTTTATTTACTTATTTTGAATGATTAAGGCTACTTCCTGAGCTGTGTTATTTGAGCCATGCCTTAACTTCTGGAACTGTGCTTAGACTTCAGCACCAGAAGGTTCTCTATGGACTCATTGCCCACAGAGGTGGTGCATGCCCCGTCCCTGGAGACATCCAAGATCAGGCTGGAGGGGCTCTGAGCACTTTGATTGAGCTCTGGGTGTCCCTGGTCAGTGCAGAGAAGTTGGACCAGATGGCCTTTAAGGGTCTCTTCCAACTCAAACAATTCTATGATTCTCATGGTGAATGTTCATGACCCAAATTGCCCATGGCTTTCAAGAGATAGATATGTCCTATGAATAAAGCAGAAGAACGTGGAAAAGGATGGCGATCTCAGCTGTGGGTAGCAAGACTGTAAGTAACTGCAGTTACAGCAATCTGTTGACTTCCTTTAGCTGATGGGTTTGGAAGAAATTAATCCTCTTGGAGGCCCTCAGAGAAGAAGTTAGTCCTGGTATAAAGCAAGGTTTCAGTCAGTGGTAACTGACATGACTGGGAGCAGGAGGAAGGTGAAGGCACTCGAGTACTTCAGCCTGACCTTATTAATTGAGGGAAAGCTCCACTGGAGTTCTTACTGATCTTGATCTTAAATTTTAAAACTTATTCCGTCTCTTCCCTTCTTTACTTCTACATTAGCATTTTCTGTTTTATGGAATGTTAAGCAGTCTTTGTGTTTTTTCTTCTCTCCACTCCAAATCCTTTGAAGGTTAAGGATGAACCTGACTCTCCTCCTGTGGCTCTTGGCATGGTGGACCGCTCCCGAATCCTCCTGTGTGCCCTGACATTCCTGTGCCTTTCCTTCAACCCTTTGACATCCCTTCTGGATGCCAGAGGGAACCCGGAGTCTGACAGCCTCACACGCCATGGCTCTGGCAGGAGCATGCTGACCATTGAGTCAGGTAAAGAGTTGGGGTGACATGAGTTGGGATCTGTAGTGTCAGTAGTTTAGAGGACGGCTCAACTAAAGATGAGCTCAGGGGATTCTGTAGGTGTGTTGTCACTTAGCCAGCTGGTCAACGTATTTTCTCACTGTTGCTTTGTACACCTAATTAAGACTGGAAAATGACCCTGAGGTATTGAATACCAATGGGTGTATCCAATAGCTTTCCTAGAACGTCTTGCATTAAGATTATTTTAGAAGCGCTGACTCAGGTTTTGTAAATCAGCCTTGTGAAAACAACTATTTCAGTTAGGTTGGGAATGTTGTGGCTTGGTGTTGATGAAGAGCTGTTGATGCAAGAGCTGTTTCTCAGTAAAATGCAGCCTTTGCAAAATGTGATATTACAAGTGGCAAACAGAGCCGTACATCCTTGTCGGTCTGGGCTCATTGTATTGCAGCGTTTTCAGTGTCAGGATCAACTTCTCCCTTTTCTTTCGGGGTGTCTGTTGCAGACGCGGGTGGATGGTTTGGCTGGATGATGCCCACACTGATCCTGTGGCTCGTGAACGGTGTGATCGTCCTCAGCGTGTTCGTGAAGCTCCTCGTGCACGGAGAGCCAGTGACCCGGCTGCACTCGAGGTCATCGGTCGCATTCTGGAGGCACCGCAAGCAGGCAGACCTGGATCTGGCACGGGTAGGGCTGCCTCCTTGCTTTGCATCACATGCGTCTCGTAGGAGGAGGTGTAGGAAAAGTGGCCTAACGAGATGGTGCCTTGGCAAGTGTGTGGTATTTCTGGATTGTATCCGGTCTGATTTGCAGAGAAGTTGGTGGTGCTGGCTTGTCTTGAGCAGATTGCTGTCCTCCCTCAGCCTGAATTAGTGAGCTCTGTCCTTGTGCCTTGCTGTTGCATCTTGCAGCAATCCCTGGAAACACGGTGTTGGTTTGTGTCCCGGTCCTGGCCTCTCCTGCAGGCAAACAGTGCTCAAGGGTGTCTTTTTGTAACATGAGCTTGTCCTGATGGTAGCTCAGCAGAAGCTACCAGCTGGCTGCTATTATAGGTTTCGTGGTGCCTGGGTGGTGGGATCTTTAGAATCACAGAATGGTTGGGCTGGAAGGGAACTCAAAGCCCACCCAGTCCCACCCCGTGCCGTGGGCAGGGCTGCCAGCCACCAGCTCAGGCTGCCCGGGGCCCCATCCAACCTGGCCTTGAACCTCCAGGGATGGGGCACCCACAGCTCTCTGGGCAGCTGTGCCAGCACCTCACCACCCTCTGAATAAATAATTTCTCCCTAACCTGAATATCCCCTCTTTTAGTTTAAGGCCATCTCCACCTGTTCTGTCACTCTTACGCCCTGTGAAAAGTAGATCTCCCTCATGTTTATAATCTCAAGTACTGGAAGGCTGCAATGAAGTCTCCCTGGAGTTTTCTCCTCTCCAAGCTAAACAAGTCTAACTGGAATGGGTGTTTGCTGCATCCCCTGTCCTCCAGCTCTTTTCCATTGTTGAAGCAGGATTTCAGTTCTGACATGGGCACCCCAAAGCTTCTGCCTTGTCTGAGAAGGCAGGAGCTGCTTTCAGCTGGTGCCAGTGTGTCTCCCAGCTGTTGCAGCCATTGCAGGACCAGGCCCCTGTGTCAAATGTGATGTGCTGGGCCAAATTCGTTCTGAGTATCCTAAATTGCTGACTTTCCTCAGCTGAAGCTCTTACACAGGTTACTCATTGCTTTGTCTTGCTCACGTTGGCGAGGAGGTCCCAGAGCATCTCCCTGGTTGTGCTTTTTGTTGTGTAACCTTTTGCCACGATGTTTGCAGGGGGATTTTGCTGCGGCAGCATCAAACCTGCAGACCTGCCTGTCGGTCTTGGGCCGAGCGCTGCCGGCCTCCCGCCTGGACCTGGCCTGCAGCCTCTCCTGGAACGTCATCCGCTACAGCCTGCAGAAGCTGGCACTGGTGCGGTGGCTGCTGAAGAGGACCTCTCACCAGTGGCGGGCCAGAGAGGCCACTGCGGGCTCTGAGGACGAGGCCAAGACCAGCGCTCGGGATGCAGCTCTGGCCTACCACAAGCTCCATCAGCTCCACATCACAGGTAGGGCAGAGGCGGTAGAGCTTGAAAAGTGGGCCCGCAATATCCTAATGAGGTTCAGCAAGCCAAGTGCAAAGTGCTGCACTTGGATCCGTGCAGCTCCAGACATGAGTACACACTGGGAGAAGAACTCGCTGGGAGCAGCCCTGTGGAGAGGGTCTTAGGAGATTTCTGGTGAATGAAAGGCTTGATGTGAGCCAGCAGTGTGTGCTTGCAGCCCAGAAGACCAGAAGTATCCTGGGCTGCATCAAAAGAGGGGTGGCCTGCAGGGCAAGGGAGGGGATTGTCCCCAGCTCTGCCTTTGTGAGGCCCCACCCAGAATTGGGACCTCAGCTTAGGAAAGACACTGAACTGCTGGAACATGTCCAGAGGAGACGATGAAGATGCTCAGAGGGTTGGAGCACCTCTCCTACATAGACTAGCTGAGGGAGCTGGGCTTGTTCAGCCTGGAGAAGAGAAGGCTGCAAGGAGACCTCATTGCAGCCTTTCAGTGCTTGAGAGGAGCTCATAAGCAGAAGACTGACTTTTTATATAGGTTGTAATAGGACAAGGGGGAATGATTTTAAACTAAAAGAGGGGTGATTTAGGTTAGATGTTAGAGAGAAATAATTTACATAGAGAGCAGTGAGGTGCTGGCACAGGCTGCTTAGAGAGCTGTGGGTGCTCCATCCCTGGAGGTTCAAGGCCAGGCTGGTTGGGGCCCTGGGCAGCCTGAGCTGGTGGGACTGGGTGGGCTCTGAGGTCCTTTCCAACCAACCATTCTATGATTCCGTGATAAGAATGGCTGAAGCAACTGCAGTGTCCCCTTCCATGTCCATGAGTCTGCAGAGGTGGCTTAGAGGCTGCCCCAAGCAGCCTTTGATAGAATCCAGTCATTTTTCACTGCTGTTTCTTGTTTCTCTTCTGTCACTTTGGAATGCAATGTGAAAGCAGAGGCCAGGGTTAATTGTTGGAGAAAAATCAAATTTGTGAAGCTGTATGAAGCGCAGATGGCCAGTTGGTGTTGATATGCTTTGAAAACCTCGGCATGTGCACGTGTACTGAGGAAGTGCTTGAATGTTCCTTGTGAACGGTTGTTTTTGCTGCCTTCCTGGCAAACTAATTTGCAATTTTAATAGGCTACAAGTACATCAGAAATCTAAGCTCAACTTCCTCCTGCTTAATTTTGTTGTGTGAATTGTGGTTATGCCATCTTAGCTGGGGTTGTCTGCCTAGGACAGTTCCCCAGCAAGTCATGTTACTGCAGAGTAGCAGGAGCTGCCATGTCTCAGGTTAACCCTTCTCCTCTCCTGTTGGTGCAGGTAAACTCCCCTCCAGCTCCGCTTACTCCGGTTTGCACATGGCGCTGTGTGCTGTCAATCTGGCTGAGTGTGCTGAAGAAAAGATCCCGCCCAGCACAATGGCTGAAATCCACCTGACGGCCGCAGTTGGCTTGAAGACCCGCTGTGGGGGCAAGCTGGGCTTCCTGGCGGTGAGTCACAGTGTTCTCTGCCACTGCAGCTCCAGGCAGGGCTCTGGGAAAGGCTGCAAGCTTTGTCAGTTCTGGGGTCTGTAGTTATGTTGTGTGGTGGTCTGACCTTTCCCTGGGTGCCTCTCTTTTCCCCAGAGCTACTTCCTAAGCCAGGCGCAGAGTCTGTGCAGCTCGGAGCGCAGCGCCATCCCTGACTCGCTGCGTTGGCTTTGCCACCCTCTGGGACAGAAGTTCTTTGTGGAGCGAAGCTGGACGGTGAAGTCTGCTGCCAAAGAGAGCCTGTACTGCACCCAAAGGAACCCCGGTGAGAGCTGCTTGTGCTCTGGGCATGGGGCTGCCTGCACGTTGTCCGGGCAGCCTCCACTTCTGTGCTTTCTGGCACCAAAGCTGGTGTCTTGGAGAGTGTTCTCCTGCATCCTCACCTTGAATGTGGTCTCACTGAGCAGTTGGAATGTGCCTCCAGGACTGCAGGAGCTGGCTCTGTCCTGCATATGTCGTCTGTTCCTGTGTGGGGTGGCCTGGGGGGTGATGGAGTATAGCCCCCCCAGAGCAGCATCCTTGCTGTTTTACTGGGTGGCTAAAGTATCTCAGGGATGTTTAGCCTTGGGCTGTAGCTGTATACAGCTGATAATTAATAAGAACGGTGATTAAAAAGGCTCTGAAAACTCAGTCTTCAGAAGATTTTGCAGTAATTCCTCAGGAGTTTCCCTCTACTGCTCTTTCTCTCTTAAAATTCAGATTTTGTTGTCAGTATCAGGAGGGGACTGTTGCTGTAGGTAAGAAAAACGTGTTGGATTTGTTCTTTTCCTTTCTCTGTAGCGGATCCCATAGCACAAGTTCATCAGGCTTTTTGTGAGAACCTGCTGGAGAGAGCAGTGGATTCCCTTGTGAAGCCTCAGGCTAGAAAAGAGGTGGTGGGACAAGAGGAGGACGAACCTTGGTAAGTTCCAGTGCTGAGGGTAGCTGTAAATTCTGAGGCAGAGCTGATGGTCACTGTGTGGTCCGAGGCAAATACACGGGTTAGTCTTTAACCAGGACTTGGAATGGCCCTGTGGAGCTGACCACCACAGCCTGTCAGAAGGGTGAGCTTTGCCTCTTCGTATGACAACCTCTGAAGCCTCAGGTGGAGTTCTGGCTGTTGTCAGATGTAGTGGGCATTTCTGGTGCCAGCTGGCATGGTACCCATCGATTCCTAAACCAGTTGGCACATTCTCTGCTGACAGTGCAGTGTTCAGGGACACTAAAATTAGCGTGCCACTATCACTGCAGTTGACCAAAGTGTGTGCAGGGTCAGAAGGCCTTGGCATGTTGCAGAGTGACCCAGCTGCCTTCCTGTGTTATGCATTCTTGTAACCAAATGAAGCATCGCATGTACTGGCAGTGGAAATCCACATGTTGCACCGTGCGTCCCAAAATAGTGCAGGTAAATGCCTGAGTGGGAAAGTTCCTTAGTGGTGTCTCCTGCCTGGAAAGACTGGCTTTCCTAATGCAGGGAGCTGTTTTTTCCCCCTCTAGGGGAAGGAGCTCTAAATCCTGCTCTGTAGCATGTCCGAGGAAATTAGATCATTGCCACACTGTCACTTGCATTCATATATATTTGCATATATGCAAATAGTCACTTGCAAAAACATTCTTCAGCTTCTTCTGGAGGCAGTGATTGAAAAGGAGCCTGTAATCAACTCATAACATATGTCCATCAGCAGATTTAAAGCACTGGAGGGGATGCTGGCGGCTTCTGCTCAGTGTCTGTAGAACATGGGGTGCTGCCTAAGTGCTAACATGGATCATCTTTCGCTTGAAAAGTGTGTTACACGAGTTAATCTGCTTCGTGATGTATGCAGAATGGTCCCTCCCTGGAGAGTGGTGCCACCTTTTGTGAAGGACTTGGGCACAGCCTGCTCCCCTGTCCCTTAGTTAAGGAGCAAAAACCCTGACAGAGGTCCACTGTAAGTCCCAACATCTCTGTAGCTGCAGTGCAGGTCCTGGAAGGTGTGCACAGGCAGATGTTGGTGGTGCTCCTCAAACTGGTCCATACACTCCCACTCTCTGGAGGTCTCTTCAGGTCTGACAGTGTTGTGATACCGGTAGAGCCTGAAGGTTCTGCCTCCACCCTCTTCCATAATGGGTCAGCCTTGTTTAAAGACATGTTACGACTGATCAGAAATGCCTCCAGGCCTTGGTGCCTCCTTCTTGATGGCACAGTGAAGCTCTGCCTTGCTTTTTGTTTCAGCGAGTTCTCCAGCGCGATGGAATACCTGAAATTGCTCAACTCTTTCCTGGATTCAATGGGAAGTGGAGCACCACCCTTTGCCAGCAGTTCTATGCTGAAATCAGCCCTGGGTAAGTCTGACTAAGCTGAAACTCCACTAGCTGCAGGAAGTGCTGCTGCCACGTGTCTCCCCAGCTTTCAAGCTCCAGGCCTGGCTGAAATGCAGTTTGTGGTGGTGGAGGGATGTTTGGCCATGGAGCAGCACTCCCTGATGCACACTGAGGGGAGGAGCACAGTCTGTAAATGAGCAGTGGGGAATTCATCTCGCTTGGTGTTGGATGTAGATGGCATCTGGCCATTCACTGGGATGCTGCTGATGCTCCTCAAAATGCATAGAGCAAACACAGTGGGGAAACTGAATATCCCTTTTCCTAGGGGATGCCTTTCGGTTGGAAGGGAAGTCTTGCATTTGAGTCAGTATTGCCATGAAACTTAAAAGACAGCTCTGGGCAGCAGGTTGTGTGTCCTTTGGCCATCGGTTGACTTTGGGGTGTTCTGGGTAGAATGCTGAATAATGGACGAGCTGATGGATTGGGGTGGCGAGTGCAGAGCCTTGTTGGGATGGGTGTCACGGTGTTTCTAGACAAGCAGATGGAGTAAGTTCTGGCTGTAGCAAGGTGAGGTTGGCCTCTTCTCCCAGGTGACAGCAGTAGAATGAGAGGGAATGGCTTCGAGTTGTGACGGGGAAGGTTTGGGTTGGATATTAGGAAAAAATTCTTCTCAGAAAGAGCAGTGCTGCACTGGCACAGGAGGTAGTAGAGTCACCATCCCTGGAGGTGTTCCAGAACCATGTGGATGTGGCACTGAGGACATCAGCAGTGGGCATACTGGGGATGGGCTGACGCTTGGACTGGGTGATCTTAGAGGTCTTTTCCAGCCTTTGTGGGTTCTGTGGTTCTAACCCTTGAGTCCATTCTTGTAGGCCCAGATGTGGTGTGCAGGTGGTGGTCGGCAGCAGTCGCTATGGCCATTGGTTGGCTCAGAGGGGATGACACAGCTGTGAGGTCACGTTTCAGCGAAGTGGAGCGCCTGCCAAAGTCCCTGGAGATGTCTGAGTGCGTAGTGCTGCTCCTAAACTCCCACTTTTCCTTCTTTAGGCTGCAGCCTGTGCTGCACAGCCATGGGCTCCCTGTGTGCTGAGGGCGGGCTTCTAAGAAAGACGAAGGGCCTTTTTTTTTTATAGGTTCACGTAGTGATAGGACATGGGGTAATGGCTTCAAAGAGAGTAGGTTTAGGTGAAAAATAAGGAAGAAGTTCCTCCTTATGGAGTAGAGCAGGTGACACCAATGTAGTACTTGAAAGCAGGGCTCTTTCTCTTCCAGGAACGCCCTGGTGAAAGCCACCTTCCACCTGTGCAAAGCTATGCAGGCCTCACTGTCATCAAAGGCGGATGGGCAGCAGAGCTCGCTGGGTCACTGTGAGAGGGCCAGCAGCCACCTGTGGAACAGCCTCAACATGAGCAGTGGTGCCTCCAGCACTCCCCTCAGCAATGTAAGGGCCGCGTACTGCAGGCGGCGTGTGATCTGTCGTGGCCTGGTCGTGTCTGTTCTTTCCGTTCGTCCCGAGTCTGATAGGAATATGGGGGATGCTTTCACTCTTTGCTTCCGAAGGGCACTGGCATTTTTTTCTGTCGCTGCTGTACAGAGGAGCAGTGCTGTGGGTGCTGTTGTTTCCTTCCAGCACCTGCCACTTCTTCTCTGCTGTGTTTTGTTTTTTGTCCGCTTTGGCCTACGGAAAACCTCCATCTCTGTCCAGCCAGGGGCAGCTGCTGCCACCGGTGAGAAGGGACCTCATTATGTCAGGGCCACTCCATTTCAGGCAGCATCAGAACCCTCTCCTGCATAAGTGGGACGGTGCTGTGCTATTCCTGAGGATGTGTGTTGCTTGTTTCTCTTCTCTCCAGGATCACCTCAAGATGGAGCTTCCCTGCACAGCGTATGGGGACAGCTCATGTCCCTGTCGCTCCTGGGTGGCAGCTGTAGTGCATTGTAGTTGCATTGCATGTGCTGGCAGTAACTGTGCAATGTTCCTGCAGTGCAGTACAGAGGCACTTTCCATTCGACAGAGCAGGTACTCTCTGAAGGGCAGCTGGAACAGCAAGCGTTGCTAGGGGGCAGCAACAGATGGGGAAAAGGGATTTGGCAAGCTGTGCAGCTCTGCTGTGCTCCTCGCCTGGTGCTGAGCGGTGTCTGCTCTGTGGCTCCCGCAGGTGATCCAGCTGCTGGCCTGTGACCTGCTGCTGTCCCTCCGCACCAGCCTGTGGCAGAAGCAGGCGAGCAGCAGCCAGGCGCTGGGTGAGACCTACCACGCTTCACCCTCTGAGCTCACTGGCTTCCAGCGTGACCTCGGCAGCCTGCGCAAGCTGGCCCACAGTTTCAGGCCTGCATACCGCAAGGTGAGCTTTGGCCCTTGCTCCTGGCAGAGGAGTGGGGAAGGAAAGAGCAGAGCACCACCTGTGTCTGCTCTTCTATTTTCTGCCCTCTTTCTGGCGGTTCGGCCGTCTCCCTTTCCAGGTTACTCAGTTACATGTCAAAAGCAATTTGTGCTTTTTTTTTTTTTTTTCTCCCAACTTTTTCTGTCTTTCCTCCCTCTTGCCCTGACCTGCAAACTGCAGGCAGGTGGATGTGGGCTCTGCTTGTTGTCAGGATGTCAGCACTGTGCTGCTGACACAGCTGAGGGCTGCCTCCAGCCTACCCCTAACCACCCACCCTGCTGTCCCTCCAGGTCTTTCTTCACGAAGCTACTGTGCGCCTGATGGCAGGGGCCAGCCCTACCCGCACCCACCAGCTGCTGGAACACAGTCTCAGGCGCCGCACAACCCAGAGCAGCAAGCAAGGTCAGCATGGGGAGCTGCATTTGGCTGTGGCTATTTGGTGCTGTGTAGAGCCAGCCAGGAGTTGGTATTGGGGCCCATCCTATTTAATATCTTTATTGATTATTTGGATGAGGGGGTCGAGTGCACCCTCAGTAAGTTTGTAGACAGCACTAACTTGGGAGGAAGTGTCAATCTGCCTGACGGTAGGAAGGCCCTACAGAGGAACCTGGACAGGCTGGATCTCTGGGCTGAGCCAGTGGGATAAAGTTCAACAAGACCAAGTGCTGGGTCCTGCACTTCGGTCACCCCATGCAACTCTACAGGCTTGGGGCAGAGTAGATGGAAAGCTACATGGTGGAAAAGGATTTGCGGGTATTGGTTAATGCTCAGCTAAACACAAGCCGGCAGTGTACCCAGGTGGCCAAGAAGGCCAATGGCATCTTGGCTTGTATCAGCAACAGTGCAGCCAGTAGGAGCAGAGAGGTGACCGTCCCTCTGTACTTGGCACTGGTGCTGTGTTCAGTTCTGGGCCCCTCACTAAAAGAAGAACATGGAGGCCCTGGAGTTTGTCCAGAGTAGGGCAGCAGAGCTGTGAGGGGTCTGGAGCATGAGTCTGATGGGGAGCAGCTGAGGGAACTGGGGTTGTTCAGTCTGGAGAAGAGGAGCTCGGGGGAGACCTTGTCTCTCTTTAAAACAAGCTGAAGGGAGGTTGTGGTGAGGTGGGGGTCAGCCACTACCCACAGGTAACAGCAATAGGACAAGAGGGAATGGCCTGAAGTTACGCTAGGAGAGGTTCAGGCTGGACATTAGGAACAATTTTTTCTCCAAAAGAGCAGTGCTGCAGTGGCACAGGCTGTCCAGGGAGGTGATGGAGTCACCATCCCTGACTGTATTCAAGCAAAGGGTGGCACTGGGGACATGGTTTAGTGGGCAGTATTGGTGGTAGTTGGGTGGTTGGAGTAGATGATATTATCGGTCTTCTCCAGTGCTAATGATTCTGTAATCACCCCCATAGCTGGGACTCTGCAAAAGGAGTTCCCTGGGGTGAGCAGCTCCCGTAGCTCTTTTCTCTGCTGGTTGCAGGGGAGCTGGACACACTGCCAGGGCAGAGGGAAAGAGCCACTGCCATCCTGCTGGCCTGCCGCCACCTCCCACTCTCTTTCCTGTCCTCGCCCAGCCAGCGCGCCGTCCTGCTGGCCGAGGCTGCGCGCACGCTGGAGAAGGTTGGGGACAAGCGCTCGTGCAACGACTGCCAACAGATGATTGTCAAGCTGAGTGGGGGCACAGCCATTGCCGCCTCCTAACACCTCGCCAGCCTCCAGCCCGGACTTCCTCCATGTTGAAGAAGGAAGGGGGGGGGAAAAATGCAAGGAAAAAGGAGAGGGAGGGAAAAAGGAAAAAAAAAGAAAAAAAAAGAAAAAAAAAAAATCAGTGCTGTAGGTTAGGGTCATGTGGGATCATGCTGGGGTGGGAGTGGGAGGGTTTGTTTTTTTTTTATCTTGCCCTAGGTGTGGCTTTATTGCCCCTGCACTTTTTGGGGGCACTATAGTAGGGACACCCTGTGGCTGTGCTGGGGTTGCCCATAGGGGCCTGGTGCTGATGCCCTCTGGACTGACCCTACTGGGATCATCAGCTGGGGCCAGTGGTTGGTTTCTGTACCGTTTTTATACCGCTGTTTTTTTAATAGGAGTGTTTGTGGCTTTACCAAACAGGGACTGACACAGCAGCCCTCCTCTTCTCCATCTTCCTCCTCATTTCAGCATGGTGAGGCTGTGGCCAGTCCCCACAGGTGGTGGGAGCAGAGGCTGCTGGCTGTGGTGCCTTCATGTCGGTGCAGGTGAAACTGTTAGAAATGGTTTATTTTATTCAGTTCCCAGTCCCAGAACTGAGCCTGTCCCCCAGCCCCTGTACCCCCGGGGCCTGGCAAGCAGTTCACATCCCTTGTCCTTTTGTACAGGATGTTGCTTTGGGGTCCCAACATGGGAGAAGTGCTGTCACCTCCATAACACCCCATGGTGCCCTCCCTCCCCCTTCACAGGGACACTCTCTGTCCCCACAGAGTCCAGCACAGGGCTCCTGGCTTATCTGTGCTCCTGCCAGGAGTTGCATCCTCGTCCACTTCCTATTTGCTTCCTTTACTAAAATACAGCAGCTCTGACCTGTTGCGATCTCCCAGTTATTTTCCATTGCCCCAGGGGTCAGTTTTGTACTTCAGTGAATGGGGAGGAGGATCTGGAGGCCCTCAGCCTTCTTGTCGCTTACATGAGGGGCTGAGGCCACCCAGTGCTTTTCCTTCTCTGGGGGCTCTTTGCCCCCTTTTTCTACTCTTCCCACCCTCTGTGCCCATCTATCCCTACAGTTTTTATATGTGTGTATATACTATAACTTTTTGTTGGTTTTGGGTGGAAGGGAGCTGTTGTTGGCAGCCGACTTCCCTCACCCAATAAAGGTGGTGTCACCGCCATGCCCTGCTCCTCTTCTCTGTCCCCGTAGTGCAGCTACACGAGGCCGTACACTTCCATGTGTTTATTAACAAGGGGGAGGCTGGGTGGTGGGGAAGGGGGGGACACGAGGCTGTGCAGCCAATCTGCTGCTTAAGTCCATTGCTCATCCATGGAGTGAGCTGAGAACAGCCACAATTCGTTGCCTGTCCCCTGCTGATGGCACCTTGCTGGTCCTGGTGTCAAACGGTGACCTCAGTCTTGCTGTTGGTGGCCAGGTGCCGGTGAGCCTGGCCATACAGCGGTGCCGTGGGCCCAGGCCGGCGTAGGCCCCGGGGGAGGCCTCCCTCCCAGCCCCCTGGGAAGGCAGAGCCCCCTGGCGCTTTGGGGAGGCCCTTGGCCTTGGTGACCCCTGGTAGGGGGCAGCCCTCAGGCCCCTCGGTGGTTGGGAAGGGCAGAGTGCTGGAGGGGGGCACCTCTGGCTCCCCAAAACGCATGTAGAAGTCCTCAGGAATGCTCTCTGCAGGGACAGGGACACTGGTGTCACCCCCGTGGGGCACCCCATCCCTTGGCAGGGGGAAATTGACTGAGAGATGGAGTTGGGGGGTGGGGAGAGGGGCACTGGGGGTCTTCTGGGTGCTGAGTGGCTGGGAAGGGGGTGGATCCTAGCTGCTGATCGGTGAGGAGTGTAGAGAGAGATCTTGGGCATTGATTGGTGGCTGAGCAGTGTGGAATGTCCATGGGGGATCCTGCTGACTGGTTGGGTGGTGCTGCAGGTCTGGGCAGGAGTCTGTATGGTGATTGGCTGGGGAACACAGTGCATGCATGGAGAGGGATCCTGGACACCGATTAGCTGGGCAGCGGGTCCATGAGGGGGATGCTGGGCACCGATTGGCCAGGCAGTTGGTCTGTGGAGGGTGGATCCTGGGTACTAATTGACAGTGCCCATGAGGTGGATAATGGGCACTGATTGGCTAGCGATGGGTCCGCGGGGGAGAACCTGGACACTGATTGGCTGGGCAGTGCTGGGGGTCCATGGGAGGATGCTGTGCAATGCCCCCTCCCCGCCATGCCCCCGCGCCCTCCCACTCCCCGCTCACCTCCAGCTGTGAGTGTGCTGTATGCAGTGTAGTTGGGGGCTGGTGGGCTCAGGCTGCTACCCAGCAGTGGGCGCTTGCTGTGGCCGTGAGGCCGCCCCAGTGAGGTGACACCAGTGCTGTCCACTGCGTTGTTCAGGGGCAACTTGTCTGGGGGCAGAGGTGAGGGCTCAGGGGAGTGCAGAGCCCTCTTAGATGCCTCTCCCTTTTCCCCCCATGGGCAGCAGCATGCCCAGAGCAAGCTGGCACCTCAGAGATGCTCTGAGAAGGGACTGGGGAGCCTATACCTTACCTGTGCTGTTCCTTGGGGGTCCCCGGGGCAGCCCCTCGCCCAGCTGCACCTGCATGCTGCCCATCAGGCCATCGATGTGTTCGGAGGGGCCGTGGCCCGGCTGCTTCAGCAGGTCGGTGAGCGTCCTGGGGAGGGGCACAGGAGCACAGGGCCATCAGGCGATGCCTACATCCCCCATCCCAGTCCAGGTGTCCCTATTGCCCCACGCTGCAAGCTCTGGGGAGAAGGGGCGGCCCCCTCACTGGAGCCATTTGGGAGCAGGGCCTAGGGAAATGATGAAGGAAGAGGGTCACCCCTCTGTAGCAAGGAGGCTGCGCCAGTGGCCTCTGGTGTTGCCATTCACTGCGTCCTCCCAGTAAGCAATAGCATTAAACATTAAGCACCGTTACGTAAGACACAGCACCCTGCCATTTACTGTTCAGGACTGGGGATGCTGCAGCACCGCTGTGACACGGTGGCCAACCCACAGCAGGGCACACACCGGGATCATGCCTTCATCGCAGTGAAAGCCGATGTGCTGCGTTAAGCTGAAAGATGCCATCAGGTGGAGGAAGGTTGTCCTTCCACTCTCCTCAGCACTGGTGAGGCTGCACCTGGAGAGTTGTCTGCTGCAGATCTTCAACAGCCACCTGGGCACACTGCAGGGAGCAGACAGACCCAGAGCTCCCTGCCCACCTCAGCCCATCACCTGAGCCTCCATCAGCGCTGGGCTTTGCACTTGTAGAGGTGCCTCTACCCCATAAACCATCTCCTCCTAAAGATCCATCAGCCTCCTGCAGCCTAGCCCTCTCCCCATCAGAACTCCCAGTCTGTGGGGCTGTACCGGCATGGCCCAGCAGCCTGGGGCTGATGCCAGGCAGCGTGCAGGGCCGGCGGCTCGCGGGGCTGTGGCTGTCACTGCGGGAGCTGCTGCGCTGTCAGCTGCTGCCTCCCTTGCATGTCCCTAGGGCCCAGCACTCACCCAGGCTCGTTTCACCAGGAGGTCCGATGCGATTTGACCTATTTCTTTTTTTTTTTTTTCCTCGGGTCTATTTACCAAGCTGGAGCAGTCCTTTAGCTGCGACTTTTCCTCTCCAGATAAATCCATCAGTGCTCTTTTCCACAAACCTACCCCTGGCCCCAACTGCCCGGACAATAACAGTGAGAGCAGCTCCGTTCCCATCCGCGAGTCTCAAGCACAAGAGGTGGCCCTGGAGGGCTCCCCATCGTGGTTTTGGAGGACACTGACCCTATTCTGAGGGTCTGGGGAGGCTCAAGTTGCATCGACTTAGTTCACCTAAAGGTCTGGGATGGCCTCAGAGTGCAGCTCGAGATGAGGACTGTAGGGCACATCAAATTCCTATCTGCAATATAGTACCAGTGAGCCCAGTGAGATCTCCATCCATCACTGTGGCCATGGGTGCTGGGTGGGCCCTAGGCAACCTGGATGCAGTGCACAACCCCACCTGGAAGATCTGGCCAATGGACACAACCTGCACCCCCAAAACCGTCCCACTGTGAGCTCCAGGAGTGAGCAGAGAGGAAAGTTCTGGGGGAGGGAGGAAGATGAGAACATGGTGACGTCTCCCTTGAATGAGCTGGAATGCCACACTTGGTCCCTGAGCCACTGATGCAAAAAATAGAGGTGACAGCATGGGACCTCACCACTGGGCCTTGTTCGGGTATCCCTGGAGATAGAGGCTGGGGCCACACCAGGAATATCCAGCAGGGTTGGGGCCCCAGAAAGCACAGAGACCAGCCTGTTCCTTTTCTACGGAGCCCCCAGGCCCCTTTCCGTGGGCCTCCTGTAGGTCTCTATGAGGATGTCCTCATGTGGTAGACACAAGCAGATCCCCCTGCCCTGAAAGGACCCCAACATCGGCAGCCTCAAGAAAAACATGGGCAGGTGTTCCTGACTCACAGAGCCTTGGGCACGCCGAGCGAGCATGGGGACGGTGCCAAGTGCTAGCCGAGTAGGAAGGAGTGAGCCTGGCGGAGCCGCCATACGGACCTGCAGAGGCACAGGGACATGGGGGAACCGCAGTGTTTTAGGTGCCTGAACCTCTTTCTGGACCCAGCTGTGAGAGCCTGGAGAAGAAGCTGTGTTTGAGGTGGACCACACTGAGTGTGAGCAGCAGCAAGAGTGGAAGAACAGTGACAAAATGGATGGACGGGTGGATGAGCGGAAGGATGGATGGATGGGTGGAAGGATGGGTGGATGGGAACAGGAACCAGCGAGGCCATGCAACAGGGAGCTGGCCCGAGGCCACGCTGCAGCTCCTGAGGAGCAAATGAGAAGCTGCAACCTGCGGCATCAGGCAGGACACGAGATCGCAGTGCCCATGCGCGGCAAGAGGCGGGTGGAGATACGGTGCCCAAATGAGATATCTCACATCAGGACAGAGGAGATGGTGGCACCTGGCTGGGACCTTCAGCCACAGATGCACAAGACCCCAGTGCGTGCCAGGACAGAGGCAGGCTCCTGGATTTGTCCCTGAGAGGCACCCAAGGGAAGCTCGCCTCCTCCCGCTCCATATGGTGGTGTCCAAAAAAATCAGTAGCCTCGGGGAAAAAAGGATCTGCTGGGCAATGAGCCGCATGTTCCCCATGCTGGAGCATGCTGGCAGGAACTGGAGTGCATCCTTGGAAGGGGGTGCACAGAAGTGGGGAGACAGCAAATTCCACAGCACCTGGTGAAGCGAGAAGGGATGGGAATAGAGCCAGGACTAGGTGTCCCCAGGCAGATCCCCATGCAGGTCTCTGAGGTGGTGGATACAACCAGAGCATCATCTCAGTGAAATAATTTCCTTGCCATGCTAAATTCCCAAAATAAAAGCCCAGGAAGATGTGTTTATGTGTGTGCACACGTGTGCTGGGAGAGGACGAAGAGGGCAGATCTGAGTCAGAGCCGCAGGGGCAGGGCTGTACCCGGGGGGGCTTTAGCTGCTGTCAGCTGCTGAGAAGTGTTAAACTCACTGAATGTGATCATCGGGGGAGAAAAGTGAAAGGGGGGGAAAAAAAGAGGAAAAAGAGGAAGAGAAACATCAACCTGAGTGGAGGAACATAATGCAAGGAGGGATCAAGGGGACTGCAGCCACTAGCCCTGCCTGTCCCTGTCCTCCCTGTCCCTGTGCCCATCCCTCCCCAGCAGCAAAACCACGATCTGGGGACAGACACAGGACAAGAACCGTTTGCCTGGAGCAGGAGCTCAGATAAGAAGTGAGGGGCTGGCAACCCCATGGTATGCAGCTTGGGTCCCCTCCCTGGGAGTGACATCCCACCAGGGTACAAGGCACACACGCAGGCAAAAAGCCACTTCCAACAACAAGCACTCTGCCCACATCATCAGCTGCTGGGGACAGAGGGACAGCACTGAGTCAGGGATGAAGGGGACAAGGAATGGAGAGGATAAGGGATGGAGTGGATGAGAGACGGAGCGAGTGGACAAGGAGTGGAGAGAGTGAAGGATGGAGGGGATGTGAGATGCAGGAGACAAGGGAAGGAGGGGATGAAGGACAGAGGGGATGAAGGGTAGAGGGGACAAGAGATAGAGGGGATGAGGGACAGAAGGGATGAGAGACAGAAGGGATGAGGGATGGAAGGGATGAAGGACGGATGGGATGACAGACAGAGGGGATGAGTGACAGGAAATAAG